TTAATGGCTTTGTTTGCCTTGAAAGCCCTGTCCTTGTCTCGGTTGCGTCCTTTTTCCCTTTCGATTTTTGGGGAATTGTTGTGAGACAAAAGCGCAGTGCACATAAATTCATCATAAACGTCGGTAATATTAGCTAAATTGACATATGGCCAAGACACAGACAGACAATGGCAGGGGGGCGGTAGGCGGTAGACAGGAGGTTCTGTACAACTTTTCCGAAGCCTTAATAAACTGAACAAAAATATTTAGAGGTTCTGGAAGCTAATAAGACTTGATTAATATACATTTTTAGCTTAAGTGCTGACAAAATATTATAGCTTAAAGTTATCTTATTACAATTTTTGTATAGATCTTTATTATTTTCTTGGGCTATTTTTTGAGTGCTTTTGAAAGTTAGAACTGCAGACTTCTCTCTGGAGAAAATATGATGACAGTCAGTGGGATTTTGACTTCTCGAAAGACCATAAAAAAGTGCAAATGCATTCTGGGCGACGACTTTACTGGCACTTTCTTTCTGCTTCCAACATTTCGCCGAGTAATGAAATCAAATCGAAATTGTAGCAAAGTGGCAAAAAGCGGCCGCCATGAAAGGAATTTAGCAGCAAATTAACTAAAAAACCATAAAGCGTAAATCGCATTAATTTGGCCAGCCCAGCAATAAAGGTTAATCATTCATTCGCGGGCCATCTCCTGGAAGGAGGAGCATGTCCTGAAGTTGACGATGACGTAGCTGTTATATGGACATTTTGGACGTTGTTAACCCATTCTAGCACAATAATTGGGTATTGATAGATTTTATTTAAAATATTACTCATACGCCTGGAGGTTAGACGATTTCCGATTTTGAACTGATTTTCAATTAAAAATTATATTCAAAACAAAGAAAAGCTCACCTTTGCAATTAAGTGGCTGTTTATATTATAAAATAATATCGTATAGCTATCGGAGATTCATTGTCAAAACAATACCTTATGGTACAAATTTAGAAAAAGAGTCCTTAGCTTTTATTTACAAAAAAAAACACAAGAGTTATGGGATTTATGAAAAATATTACATATTTGAAGGCTTAAAGACAAAATTTGGATTTAATTGAATAAATGAAAAATTACACCAAAAAGATTACAACAAACATATTACAACAACATAAAAATTACAACAAAAAAATTTAAACAAAAATGTACAACAATTACAACAGCAAAGAAATTACAACAACAAAAGCATTACAACAAGAAACATTTACAACAATCAGACAGTTACAATAAATTACAACAGCAAACAAATTACAACAACCAACAAAATACAACAATAGAAATTACAACAAAAACAATAAACTACAACAACAAATATTAACTACAACAAAAACAACAATTAACTAAAACTAAAACAATTACCTACAACAAAAACAATAATTAACTACAACAACAACAATAAACTACAACAACAACAATTAACTACAACAACAAAAATTAGCTACAACAACAACAATAAACTACAACAACAATAAAATATAACAACAGCAAATAACTACAACACCAACAATTAACTACAACAAACACCATAAACTACAACAGGATACAACAATAAAAATGTACTACAACAAGAACCACAAACTAAAACAACAACAATAAATTATAATAACAAAAATGAATCACAACAACAATAAATAACAACAACCACATAAAAATGACAATTACAACAACAATAGTAATCCTGAAATATAAAAAAAACGAAAAACGAAAAATTCACAGAAATAAATAATTATTCAACCGATTTTTGGGGCCTACTTAAGTGCAACCTATGAGAATCGAGTAGGAGGGCGCTTTTTTATTAAATAATTATTTTTAAATATTTTATTGAATAATTACCAAATTAAAGCATCTTCGTAAAGGTTATCGTATGCGTAAAAAAACCGATCAATTGTAGTTTTCAAAACCATTAGACCTCTAAGACCCTTAAAAGTAGGCAATAAAAATATAAGTTTTTACGATTTAAGATTTCTAATTAATTAATATGTTTAATTATTAAAGAGGTTTTCCTTGAGAAGAATTTTAGAATCCTTAGAAATATATGTTTTACAAGATTCGTAGGCTTATATGCCTTAGAAACTATACATATGTAGATATGTACATACATATATACTTGATAGGATTGAAGACGGTGCTGCACACTTTTGACTTAAATGGTTTTAAATATATTTACAAGTATTTATATATAAGATTATGTCTTTAAAAATAAGAATAATTTTTTCTCTAAAAAGTCCTTTACCCAAAAAAAAAAACAAAAATGGGTTAATTCGGCTTCGGCTTAGATGAGATCCTTGGGCTTTTGTCTATGTAAATTAGATGGCGCCCCGAAGGCGCTCAAACTAAAGAAAGTCTATATGAAAATGAGGGGGGAGTCACACCCTAAGAGGGGGGGAGGTAGGACTAAAAAACACAGCAACGGCTAAAGTAATCTAAAAGTTCTGTTTCATTTATTGACAATTTGTTTCAAAATAATTGCCAATGGCGGCGATGGCGAGCATGTAGAGGAGCCTCACGGCCACGCCCCCGCTTTGGTGTCGCCTCTGTTGGTTTTTACCAGCCGGACCAGTTAACTGTTAACAGTTAGCAGCTGAAGGACCTTCGCTCATTTGGTTTATGCGCCGCAGGACATGAGCACGTCCAGCGATTACACGGGTTGAACGAACTAAATGCCATGGGCCTGGACATCCATACATACATAACTATGGCCAGTGCTATTGCCCAGTTATGGGCGGGTGTTTATTTTCCAGGAAGGGGGTGTGGTCGAACAGGTCCTTTGTAAAATTCATGCTATATTGATTGCCAACTATGCAAATATTGTTCCAACAAGGCGCTCAAAGGAAGGCCAGGTAACGGCAATAAAAAGTGTATATTTATAAATATACGTACTTGTAGTTTAATGTTGGCAGTTTAAAGAATTCTACTGTATCCTGGACTTATCTAAGTACCATCTTGACCCTTGTCCGCTTTGGAGAAGTCCTGTCATAGTTCGACATTCCCAGCATATCCTTTGAATCACATCTACTTATCTGCTCACTAAGCTTTCAATGAAAGAGATGGGCTAGGAAGTGAGAAAAGGAAACCACACAAGAGTTCGTCCTTTAAAAGCTAAAAAGTGATAGGACATGACCAATGATAGGGAGTAGGAGACAGGTGAGGGGCTAAGCCATACCTTGTGCCACAGATTGTAGAATTGCACTGACAGGTGTACTTGGGATTTTCAATTTTTTTTTTTAAAGATTTGTCACATTTATGAAGGGATTATAGAGCACATATTGACATTTGGCCAAAAGCATTTAGCTCCAAGAAGGACTTAGAGAGCTTTAAAGGATTTAAGAACTATAATTTTCCAAGAATTTTCTAAAATATCTCAAAAAACTCTGTAAAGTTCAAAAATATTAAAGTCATTACTATTAGTACCTTAGATTGCAAGACCAAGTCAAGACCATGTCCTCTTAAGGATAAACCCTACTAGCCAAAACCCTTCCCAGTTTAAATTTAAGAGAGTTAGTGCTCTCTCTTAAATACCAGTTCAAGTTCCCCTTCAAAACCATTATTTGACTCCACCGTATAGTGTTCCCATTGTGGCCCCACTGAGTACAGTGAACACTGCGCCGACGCGGATAAGTTTCCCCTTCGCGAACAAGGACTCGTGCCTCAAGGGGCATCCTCGATTTATGAATGAAATCAAAATTACTACGCCACTGGGAACAGTTTCTCCTTCATTTTTGCCTGTTTTTTTTTTCTCTGTTTTTCACAAGGATTTGTGGGTGGTGGGGTGGTACTTTAAAGGTTGAATGACATGGTGTTGCAACAAGAAAGAGAGTAATAATAAAATAATAATAATAGCAGGGGGAAAATAAACAAAATGAAGAAAGGCAAACACGCTACAAGGTAAACTTAATTAAATTGGCTGCCACGAAATATGCAAAAATCTGAAATAATGACCGAAGCTGAAAGGTAATTTAGACAGGACACGGAGGACTCCTCTTGTTACCATCCCATTCCACATCCTCGACAAGGACTTTAAATGTCAGAAAGTTAGCCAAGAAATCAATCCATTCTTTTGCAATTTCGAATCCTTTAAAGATTATTCTTTTTTCAAAAGATTTAAAAGATTTTTTTAAAGGTTATTCCAAGTTCCAATTCTTCTGAGAAACATCAGATCCTTAAGAGGAGAACCATTCTTTCATTAAGATTCATTCTAATTTCAGAATAGACCACTTTTGAAATTCAGAAGACGGGTATATGGTACTTTTCCACGAAAGGTCACACTAAAATATATTTTTGGGATTTCATAAATTTAACCAATTAGCCTTGGAATTTTTCCATGACCCTAAAATTTGAGGGCCTCGATTTCAGGCTGAAATTATTCATTCGGGCTCGAGACCCCAGCCAATACGGGTCTCCTGAAAAAATAATAATAAGTTGAATAGTTTTAAATCAATTTTAATAAAAATGGTAAAATAAATAAAATTGTGAAAAAATAATAATAATTAAAAACTTTGAAAAAATAATAATAGCAAAAAATAAAAATTGCGACAAAATAATAATAATAAATAAAAATTTTGAAAAAATAATAATAATAGTAAAAAATAAAAAATTGTGAAAAAATAAAAAACTGTGAAAAAATGTTAATAAATAATAAACTTAAATTATAAAACAAACAAAAAATAATATTAAGTGAAGTAGTGATAGAAAGTGCCTGCGATGAAATTCTTGAAATGGTAAGAACATACATATATACATATATGATAGTATTATATGATATCATTATAATACATAAATGGTATGAATGGTAGTTTTATTAAAAAAGTATTTGTTTTAAATAGATTTTATATTATTTTTATATATATTTATATTATTTTTTACATTTTAATCGAAGTCAAATAATTATTTTCATTTCACATAAATATAAACTTTATTTAAAAATAATTTAAATATTTTTGCATAAATATTTTTACATACAGCTTATTGTTTTAATCTCTTCTGGTGGAAACTAGAAGACTGGCTGGCTCCTTTTCATGGCTCTCAATTCCAGACTGATTTGTCCACAAGACCCATCCTTAAACTTCCTGAATCTTTCTCAAAAGTACTGGATCAGAAAAAGCTAACAATTGGATTGATTGCTGATTTATTTCTTTTTGGTAAATACTCAGTCCTTCCGGTAGTTTGATGTAGATCCTAACCCAATCCTTTCTTCCAACAGATATTATCTCCAACTCGAGCTGGGTTGTTATTTGGCCAACGACATGTTTCCAGTGGCTGGGTCTCCTTTATGTTTTTTTGATGCTCTAATTGTGGCCGACGTGCAGTGGGTCTTAGGTTATGTTAGATCTACTACCGGAGGATCTCTGATTTCCTGATTTTATTCAAGCTTTTCATTTAATTTGAGCCTCCTTGGGACCTACTGGGTAAAGTTTCAAGTCTTTAAGATCTTTTAAAGTTTTAAGATCTTAACCCAAGTCTATTCTTCCGACAGATGAGGTCAATGGGGCTATCTTTATTTTTGTTTCCTGTTCCAATTATGGCGACGTGCAGTGGGTCCTAGGTCTTAGCTCCACCAGCCCCCTGTGGATCTGATTTCCTGATTTTATTCAAGCTTTTCATTTAATTTGTGGCTTCCTGACACGCTGGGTAAAGTTTAAAGTCTTTAAGATTTTTAAAGTTTTAAGATCTTAACCCAAGTCTATTCTTCCTGCAGAAGATAGGCTAGATGTATCTTTGTTTCCTGTTCCAATTATGGCGACGTGCAGTGGGTCTTAGGTCTTAGCTCCACCAGCCCCCTGTCGATGTCTGATTTCCTGATTTTATTCAAGATTTCCATTTCATTTTAAGCTGGTAAATATTCTTACTCGTAGACCTTGCTTGGCTTCTTTCAAATATACCGACTCGCAGTTGCTATATAACCCTTTCTTTCTCTAGATTTTACATTTAACCTCCTCATTATCTCCCCTCCTGATGCGGGTCTGATTTGGCATTTGATTTGAATTTATTTATTTTTGGTAAATACTCAGTCCTTCCGGTAGTTCGATGTAGAACCAATAGATGTATGTAGATCCTAACCCAATCCTTTCTTCCAACAGATGTTATCTCCTACTTGATCTCCTATCTCCTGTAGAAGTCCTGCTGGCATCCAATATCCTTTTATCATTGGTAACCATTCCTTGCTCTTTTAATCCTTGAGTTTCTCAATATATTCAATATCATCCTTTTTAGATCATGATTTGTATTCCGACTCAAGTTCTTCATAAAGAAAACATCTTTGTTGGTCCCTGATTTGCTTTTTTTTTTGTAACCTTTTCTTCAACCTTGGAGAACATCCTTGATTCGGGTCTCCTTTATGTTTGTTTCCTGTTCCAATTATGGCGGACGTGCAGTGGGTCTTAGATAATGTTAGATCTACCACCGGATGATCTCTGATTTCCTGATTTTATTGAAGCTTTTCATTTAATTTGAGCCTCCTTGGGACCTACTGGGTAAAGTTTCAAGTCTTTAAGAACTTTTAAAGTTTTAAGATCTTAACCCAAGTCTATTCTTCCTGCAGATGAGGTCAATGGGGCTATCTTTATTTTTGTTTCCTGTTCCAATTATGGCGACGTGCAGTGGGTCCTAGGTCTTAGCTCCACCAGCCCCCTGTGGATCTGATTTCCTGATTTTATTCAAGCTTTTCATTTAATTTGTGGCTTCCTGACACGCTGGGTAAAGTTTAAAGTCTTTAAGATTTTTAAAGTTTTAAGATCTTAACCCAAGTCTATTCTTCCTGCAGAAGATAGGCTAGATGTATCTTTGTTTCCTGTTCCAATTATGGCGACGTGCAGTGGGTCTTAGGTCTTAGCTCCACCAGCCCCCTGTCGATGTCTGATTTCCTGATTTTATTCAAGATTTCCATTTCATTTTAAGCTGGTAAATATTCTTACTCGTAGACCTTGCTTGGCTTCTTTCAAATATACCGACTCGCAGTTGCTATATAACCCTTTCTTTCTCTAGATTTTACATTTAACCTCCTCATTATCTCCCCTCCTGATGCGGGTCTGATTTGGCATTTGATTTGAATTTATTTATTTTTGGTAAATACTCAGTCCTTCCGGTAGTTCGATGTAGAACCAATAGATGTATGTAGATCCTAACCCAATCCTTTCTTCCAACAGATGTTATCTCCTACTTGATCTCCTATCTCCTGTAGAAGTCCTGCTGGCATCCAATATCCTTTTATCATTGGTAACCATTCCTTGCTCTTTTAATCCTTGAGGTTCTCAATATATTCAATATCTTCCTTTTCAGATCATGATTTGTATTCCGACTCAAGTTCTTCATAAAGAAAACATCTTTGTTGGTCCCTGATTTGCTTTTTTTTTGTAACCTTTTCTTCAACCTTGGAGAACATCCTTGATTCGGGTCTCCTTTATCTTTGTTTCCGGTTCCAATTATGGCGACGTGCAATGGGTCCTAGGTCTTAGCTCCACCAGCCCCCTGTGGATCTGATTTCCTGATTTTATTCAAGCTTTTCATTTAATCTGCCTCCATGGTAGCTTCTGGTAAAGTTTTAAGTCTTCGCCTCTTCTTTTCAGAATAACTATCCATTTCTCTTTCAGGTTTTCTCTGATGATGGCTCGCTGCGGTTCTGATTCTATTCTTTTTTTTTTTTTGGTAAATATTCAATAGTGTTTTAATATTAATAAATTAATATCTCAATATCTTTCAGACCTACCATGGCCTCTTGTAAGCTTCGATACAAAATGGAAATACAAATGTCTGATTTAATTTTTTTTATTGCCTGCAGATGAAACTACTTATGTATTTATGTAAAATTTTTACTCCAAATTAAGTTATGTTTTTAATTAAAAAAAAATCACCAAAGTTAAATCTGAATCTATTTCTTGGTGGGCCAAATCACAGGACTAGCATCATGGCATCTTAAATTTCAGCTTAAATTCCATTCATTCAGGAAGCTCCAATTGGAAACGATGCAGGAGGTGTGACAGGACACTGAAAATAGCCACTTGACCGCAGAGAATTTTTGATAAAGCTTGCAGCACCCATGTCCTTCCATCTTCACGGAGGGCGTGCTCTGGCTCTGGCCAGGAGTGAAGGTGGGCGTGGTCTGGCCAGGAGTGAAGGTGGGCGGCGTAGTCATTGCGGAATTCGACTGAAGTGCGCATATTAAATTCCACTTTGGCGGCCAGATGATGGATATCGGAAAGGAAGAACTGCTTCGACGGGAAGTTGGTTGGGAAACCTCATCTGTTTGCCTCATCGACGGGCAAAAGAGGACGAAAAATGCAGAGCAGAGTCAGAGTCAGAATCAGAATCAGAGTCGGGGTCCGTAAAATGCAACCAAAGTTGGGTTGTCCTTCTGCTTCGGCCACTGTTGTCACTTAATTTCCAGCGACAATAAACCCAACAATGGGGGCAATAAAGAGCCAAAAGGCAAACCGCACAAAGGACTCGTTGCCTGACCGCGAACTGGATGGCGGGCGGGGCAGGACCTGCCGGACCTGCAGGGACTGTATGAAATATGGCAGCTGCATGGTTTCCATGTGTAAATGTAATTTTTTCGTTTTTTTTTTTTTCAAAAATAAGGCAAAAGGATATGGGGAAAAGGGCAAATAAACGGTATGTTTGTTGTTTCTGACGGGAGGGGGATGGAGATTACTGATCCAATCAGGAGAGTCCAACAGAAAGGATAACAGCCAAGGATTTGTAATTAAGCTACCAAAATTAATACAAATAAGTTGCCCTGTCTATATCCTTGTAACTAAAGCCTATCAGGACATCTCCGCCAGGAACCAGAAAAAGCGGCTAAGTTGGAATAAAGGATATCTCGTATGTATAATTAATATTTTTCCACCGCCATTCGAATGCCAGTTTCCAATTGGATTTTAAACAAAAGTACGTGCTTGCGGCCTGGGGTTCATACTCCGTAAATATTCGAGTGAAAATAATTGCAATCCTTGGCCCCTGAGGGAGGGGAGGTGGGGATGGTGAAAAGTTTTTCCTGCAAAAGTTTCAATGGCCGTGTAATTGCAGCTCCAGAGTAGCACAAGGGTTAAGAGAGGTTCCATACCCTATCAGTGCTGCCAACTTTTCCTGACCAAGCCTGCTACAAACGGCTAGATCGAATTTAAAGAAAACCAGAAAAAAAAACATTTTAGTTTTGATGTAGTTTTAATGAATATTTTTTAATATATTGTTACCTCCTGAATCCACACGTTTAAGGGGTTCTGGTGCTGGCTAGTTTTTAAATTTAAGGGGTTATATACAGTTGTACCGCGCAAGAAATGTAATTTTATCAATTTTTTTTTGACACCATAGAAAATATTTATGAAAAATGTTTAACCGACGTTGTTTAGTACATGTTTCTGGGTACTTAATTAAATTTTTCCATAAAAAAATATTACATAATAAAAATGTTATAGCCGAATTCCCGGATCGTCTTTTTTCGATGGTGTCTTGCGGTGGACATGATATCCCGAAAACGGTTCATGTGAGATCCAAAATTCAAAAAAATGTAGTTAGTATATTGTATTGTCTAGTCCGTAAACGAGGGATTTTTAAAAATTTCGATTAAAAAAAAAATGGCGACGGTTTTAACAAAAAATGTACTTTTTCATGGTATAAGATTTTCGATTTTTATGCTCTAAAAAAGGAGTTTTCAAAAAAATTGAAAATCCCTCGTTCACGGACTAGGTAATATCATAATTAATAAGTGGTCAAAATTTGGTGTTGGTCGGATTAGTAGTTTTTTAGTAATCGTGTCCACCGTAAAGGTGATTTCGAAAAATCAAGATTCTGAGATAATCGCGTTTAAAGTTTCAAGTTTGTTCAAGTTTTATATGCAGATAGTGCGCTATAAATAGCTACAGCTTCGGTTCTAATGCTCCGATCGATATGAATTTTTGTGAGAGTATTCTCAACAGTATATACTTAAAGAATATGTAATAAAAAAAATCGATTTTTTCATCTATCACAACTGTATATAACCCCTTAAAAATAATGCCAAATTTTTTGCCAGCAGCTAGCTCCAAATTTTTCCTGCATCTGGCCGGTAAAAGGCTAAGTTGGCAGCACTGTACCCTATCACCAATTCTAAGATTTACTAAAATAAACAATTTTAGTTTTTGTGTATAAATGTAATTTATTATTTTGTTTTTTCTTTTTTTGTATTTTATTTCCGCATTTCATTTGCATTTTGTTGGGTTTTCAGTTTAAATCTTTGTTTTTAATTGGGTCAAGTGTTAAGTATTAATAAATAAATTGCATTAGTATACGATTAGTGGTTTTGTTGTTCTTGGGTTTTTTTTTAGAAATTTTAGTTACGAGGCGCAGTAGCAGAGAGGTTCGAACTGCAAGTTCAAAGGTCGTATCGTCGTGTCCTTGCAAGTGTGTCCTTTCGTCAAGTTGTGGATTTTTTTTTAATTTTTAGCAAAAATATTGCGCCTGTTTTCCTTTATATACTATATGTATTGTATTTCATATAAATATTATTAACTTTCAATTTTTTTGTTTAAATTACCTGCACTTGAAATATTTAAAATACTTTTTAGTTTAATAACATATATGATTTCAATTATTTGCTCTTTGCTAGCTTTTTATATTTTATTTCTTATTTATTTTTTTTTTTAATATATTTCAATTAAATGTTTTTGCAAAAATAAGCTCTCTCTCTCTCTCTCTATGTGTCGCTCTGTCACCTTCACTGTCGTCGCACCGGCTGTCTCTTTCTTAAACATGATTATACATGATCGCTTAACAGAAACTAAGAAATTATTGTTCTTCGTATTACTTGTTGCTGTTATGCTTATTGTTTCCGCTTTGTTTTACATATAAATATATATTATATATTATATATATATATATATGTAGGTATATATGGCAATAATCGATCGATAAGTGTGCAGACATATACAATTAGAATTAATTTTCGCTTTTAAATGCATTTTTTATTTTGTTTGTTTGTTTGTTGTTGCAGGCATGGCTTCGTTCACTAAGGCTATATAATAGATATTATATATATATGATTTTTTGTATATAAATATCGGTATTGCAATCAATATACATTAAAAAAAAAAAACATTCAACGAAATCTCAACGCAACTAATCGCATCGCTTAAAAGTTAATTCTTTTTTTTTGGCATAAGGTCGTTTCTTTTTTCATTTTTGAAAATTATAAATGTAGTTAATAAACTAAATTACAATTAATTTACATAAATATTATATTTGCTTGCAATTTAAATTCAATTGAATCCTTAAGCTATTGTCTTGATTTGGTAAGGGCGTGTGTTTGGGGGGGGGATACGTATCCTTTTTACAATCCTTGCTCTGCAGCACACCGACTCTCTCTCTCTCTCTCTCCTGCCCACTTGCTTCGAAATTCAGTCTTTTTCAGTCATTTACAGAAAAAAATAAAATTAAAAAACAACCAAGCAACCAAAGAATTAAAAAATATTTTAAAAAAACCAAACATGAATGAGTAATTCGCTGGCAGTTTTGATTAAAAACTGAGTTCAGAGTTCAGAGTTCAGGGTTCAGGAGGTGCAGCAGTGCCGTCGTGTGTGTGTCTGAGCATTAAGTATTATTATTTAGTTTTTTTTTTTTTTAATTTTAAATGTAAATAGGCGTCTCCTGGCCGGTGAGCAAACGGAACATGGACGTGGGCATGGTCTTCATTAGGATCTAAAAAAGGATAAAAAGGGTTAACCTTCGAAAGGAGGGTCGAGATCTGGAGAACTCACCTCCCCCACTGAGGATGACAAGAGCTTCACAATGGTGTCATGTGGAACAGCCACCACGCTCTGGTTATTAATCTCAATGATGCGATGTCCAACGCGTACTCCTCCCCTCTCGGCGATTCCGCCACGCAACAGACTGCAGATCTGTAAGAGAAACGGCTTAAGAATCCTCCATGTTCTCCTCCTCCTCCAGGATAACTACTTACCACTCCATTTTGGACACTGAATCCCAACTGAAATAGGGCCTTGGGACGCAGGATTTTCACCTCGACAACGGGCGGACAGGGCACAACGGTGAACTTGACGGCAGTTTGGTTCTTGGCATTCCGTATATAGCTCTGGCACGTGGACAGCGGCAGTCCCACCAGGCTCATGCCATTGATGGCGATCAGCTGGTCGCCGATATTCAGTTGCCCGCACCGGGCAGCCGCTCCGCTGGACATCAAATTGGCAATGACCACCGTGGGCAGCATTGAGCCCCATCCGGACTCCACAATGACGACGCCCAGGATTTCGCCCTTGGCCTTGGGCACGACCACCTCCTTTTGGAGCTCCTTCTTGGCGAAGATCTCCAGCTCGTCGCCAAAGATCTCCTGGCTGTTGAGCACCTCTTGGTAGTCCATCTCCTTGGCCAGGCTCTCGTTCTCGATGCCATTGGCCTTGAGGAACTCCATGTAGGCCACCTGGAAGGCCTGGCCGATCGACTGGGCTATGAACTGGGCCTCGTCGCTCTCGAACACGTGGCAGATCATCTTGGGTGTTCGATTGTGCTTGCTGTTGCTGGACGGTGGCTCCTTGGGCGGCGATGACGACGACTCGCCGTCCGGTTCTCCGCCCGGACTGCCCTGGACGTCCGGCTGGACGACGGCCGGTATGATCTGGGCCGGATCCGTTACGCTATTGGGCACGAAACGTCGTCGGGCCATCAGCACGACCAGATCCCCGATATCGGCTATGTAGGATATGGTGCGCAGAGCGTGGTCCATCATGATCTCCTTGAGATCGGTATTGAGCACCATTATCTTCTCGGTTGATATGAACAGGTCTACCTCGGTGCTCGGCTGGCTCTCGCCTTCGGGTGCCTGCGTGGAACAAATAAGAAGCATTAGAAACACCTGGTTGGAAGCACTGAGTCCTTCTATTGTCGTCCGCCTCCAGTTGTCGCCACAGATCATTCTCTCTGAATCTGTGCCGACAAGCCGAGAGGACAACCAAGAACTCGGTTCATCCCAAGACTATATACATATTGTTTATGTAATCTCGAGTGGGCCAAACTTCTTACCAAAGCCTATCGAGAGGAATGCGCAGCAGGGAACGAAAAAAGCGAACAAGAAATATTCTTTTTTTAGACAAACACATAGAGCATAGCCTACCGGGGATTAGGGTACCGGGATATGAATGGATAGATAGAGTGGGGGATAGTGGGGGATCCATGACATGGATCCTGGTAATTACCTTTATGCGGGAAACGGCCTCCTCGGCCTGCATCATTCGCGTGGACTTGGTCGGTTGGCCTTCGCAGACCAGCTGAGTGGAACCGAGATATCTGGCCCGAAACAACACGCCCTCGATCAGGACTTTGGGTTCCCAAAGTCGACCTATGGATTGAATATTAAAAACAATCAGTCACCCTTTTTCAAGGACCTTCAACGTCATCCTTTCAGAACTTACGTTGATCATCACATCATATCATTGAAAAAAATTCAAAGAAATGCAGCATGAAATTTTTTTAAAATTTTTTGAAATTTTTTTTTAAAGTTTTCCCTTGATTTTGAAACTCACCCTCCTTGTTTCTGGACTTGGCCTTCTTGTCCGAGTTGGCCGAATCCTTGAGGGACTTAATGGATCCCGTGGGACTCTTGGTGTACTGCAGCTTCTCCGGGGAGCCGAGCAAAATGTCCGCCGTGCCCACAATCTGGCAAATATCGGGCGAGTTGGGAGTCAAGGAGGTCCCGATGCCCTGTCGAATGGTGGAGGTGGAGTAGGCCGGCGGCTTGCTGTGTAGATGTGCCAGCGGGTTGGGGTTGTTGTTGTCCGCCGAGCCGTTCAAGTGGCCAGTGCCGGCCAGTTCAGATCCCTCGTTCGCATTGCTATCAGCCAGGGGCTGTGGGGTTTTTCGAAATTCATTAATTACATAATTCATAGCATTCGCAAATGGTTTTTATTTAAAAAAAAAAAAGAGGCTGACAAACATGATGATGGTTTAATACAAAAATAGGCACAAGTCTGCCACAGTTTTTGAAATAAAGTCCTGATGCAACCATGCTGTCCAGTTTCAGGATATAAGGAGCCCAGTTTCTTGAAATGAAAATAAAAGGGAATTATTCTTGAATCAGGACCACTTATGTCTGAGCATGGTAAAATAAGACACCTAAAAAGATAGAAAGGTATATAGATTATAGCAGGAATAGAGTCGAATAATATTTTAAAATATTTACCAAAGAAAATCAGGAAATCAGAGATCCCCGTAGGGCAGATGAAGCTAAGCCCTTAAGGGCCATCGGATTTGGGCCATAAAAGTATCAAATAATAATAAGAAAATCAGATGTCGACCTCCATTGACCTCCAGTGCTGGTATCAACTGATCCAGTCTAAGCACCAATCAGATCCCATCTTCTTGAAATAATAATAAAAGGAAATTCTTCTTGAATCAGGTTCATCATCCGCGAAAATCTGAAAGAGAAATGGATGGTTATTCTAAAAAGAAGAGGCGAAGATTTAAAACTTTACCAGAAGCTACCATGGAGGCAGAAATTAAATGAAAAGCTTGAATAAAATCAGGAAATCAGATCCAGAGGGGGCTGGTGGAGCTAAGACCTAGGACCCATTGCACATCGCCATAATTGGAACAGGAAACAAAAATAAAGATAGCTCCATTGACCTCATCTGCCGGATGAATAGACTTGGGTTAGGATCTTAAAACTTTAAAAGATCTTAAAGACTTGAAACTTTACCCAGTAGGTCCCAAGGAGGCTCAAATTAAATGAAAAGTTTGAATAAAATCAGGAAATCAGAGATCCTCCGGTGGTAGATCTAACATTATCTAAGACCCACTGCACGTCGGCCATAATTGGAACAGGAAACAAACATAAAGGAGACCCGAATCAATGATGTTCTCCAAGGTTGAAGAAAAGGTTACAAAAAAAAAGCAAATCAGGGACCAACAAAGATGTTTTCTTTATGAAGAACTTGAGTCGGAATACAAATCATGATCTGAAAAGGAAGATATTGAATATATTGAGAACCTCAAGGATTAAAAGAGCAAGGAATGGTTACCAATGATAAAAGGATATTGGATGCCAGCAGGACTTCTACAGGAGATAGGAGATCAAGTAGGAGATAACATCTGTTGGAAGAAAGGACTGGGTTAGGATCTACATCTATTGGTTCTACATCGAACTACCGGAAGGACTGAGTATTTACCAAAAATAAATAAGTTCAAATCAAATGCCAAATCAGACCCGCATCAGGAGGGGAGATAATGAAGAGGTTAAATGTTAAATCTAGAGAAAGAAAGGGTTATATAGCAACTGCGAGTCGGTATATTTGAAAGAAGCCAAGCAAGGTCTACGAGTAAGAATATTTACCAGCTTAAAATGAAATGGAAATCTTGAGTAAAATCAGGAAATCAGACATCGACAGGGGGCTGGTGGAGCTAAGACCTAGGACCCACTGCACCTCGGCCATAATTGGAACAGGAAACAAAGATACATCTAGCCGATCTTCTGCAGGAAGAATAGACTTGGGTTAAGATCTTAAAACATTAAAAAATCTTAAAGACTTTAAACTTTACCCAGCGTGTCAGGAAGCCACAAATTAAATGAAAAGCTTGAGTAAAATCAGGAAATCAGACATCGACAGGGGGCTGGTGGAGCTAAGACCTAGGACCCACTGCACGTCGCCATAATTGGAACAGGAAACAAAGATACATCTAGCCTATCTTCTGCAGGAAGAATAGACTTGGGTTAAGATCTTAAAACTTTAAAAAATCTTAAAGACTTTAAACTTTACCCAGTAGGTCCCAAGGAGGCTCAAATTAAATGAAAAGCTTGAATAAAATCAGGAAATCAGACATCGATAGGGGGCTGGTGGAGCTAAGACCTAGGACCCATTGCACGTCGCCATAATTGGAACAGGAAAAAAAAAATAAAGGAGAACTGCATCCTCTGAACTGAGGGATGAGAGCATAAAATACTAGGATGCGGAGGGGGTTAGTTTCAGACCAAGATTGTGTGGAGAGTATAAATATTTACCAAGGATATATCATGAAGCCAACTGCAAGTACTAGAAGAAAATAAGAGCCCATGGGCCCAATAGCTGGTAACCTCCAAAGTGGGCCACCCAATCCCAAGGACGGTCACAAAGGAGATATCCATCGGAGTCTTGATTGAAGAAGGAAAATGAGCAAATCAACGAGCTCAACGAGCTATTGTGGTCCAGATCCAGTCCAGACCTTCTCGGTTGAGCAGGACGAGAAAATAAGCAAATAAGACCCGGAAGGACCTCACAAGGCTGCAATGCGATTGATGATTGAAATATGATTGATGAATATTAACCAGAAAATGAATGTCTATTTACCATTTTAAGAAAATATTAATTAATTAATAAGATTTGATAGAAATTATATACTTTCTTGTTCCGATCCATTACTGCTCTGGATAAGGCTTGCTCTAGGATAGGAAGTTCCTGGAAGGATAAGATCTATGTAGCTTGAAATAAATGTTGAAATAATGGAAGGAAATCAGGATCGAGGGAATCTGAAAATAGGAACTCTTCTGCGATGAAGCTTGATCCTTGTTGGAGCTTCCTGAAACATCTGCAAGAGAATAAATATACCTGCAGAGTTCTTGAAGCCTACAATCATGTTTGTCACTCTTTGAATCCTTAAAGTAGTCCTTAACCTAGCTTACCCGATCGCCGAAGAAGTCCTGGTCATCGTGTCGCTGCTGGCCCAGCAACCGATCCGTCTCCAGATCAGTGTCCAGCTCCTCCTCCGTGGAGGCTGCCACCGGCACAGCGGCCCCCTTGCGCGGCACCCAAACAGGAGAATCCGGATCTGTGGGTATGATTTCGTCACAGAATTTTTGCTTCTCCGGTTGGGTTTTTGCCCGCTGCAGGGCGGATCGGATCTCCTTCATGGCCTCTTGGATTTCAGCGGCTGCCTGATGCGTTTTGGTGCCAGTCGAGAGCCCTGCTGGCCTTCCACCACCACCCACTACTGCACTGGATTTGTCGTCTGCTACCGCCGCTGCAGCCGCATAAACAGCACCGTAGTGACTGTCGACATCTGGTGCTCCGTTCGAGCCATCGCCCATATCAGCCACCTCGATGTGAGGCGGCGGCGGCGATGGGGACGGCTGTAGCAGGGGTGGCGGCACCGGCATCGGCAATGTGGCAAAGTCACATATCAGCGCCGACTGGGTGGCATCTGTCGCCGCGACTGTCACCATACTGGCACTGTTATACTCGTTCTCCAGATGCTCCGATACACCAGTGGCGTTATCGTTTCCATTGTGCTCGTGGACGGACTGGGACTGGGATTGGGATTGGCAAACGGCATTCGAGGCAGACACATTGTTTTCCGTATCAGAGGCGTGACCACTGCTCAGGCCATCCTCCAGCACCGGCATGCTCGTGTACAGCTTCCCATAGTCCGTCGGACAGTTAATGTCATTCGACAAGCTATCCAAATCGCCGCAATTGGAATCATAGTCCGTAGTCTCCGGGGACAATGTGAAATTACGAGAATGCCGACGCATATTGGCTTCCAGTTCGGTGTCGGCCAGATCACCACTGCTCCGGCTATTGGAGTCTATATAGAGCTCTATATCGTTGTGTTCCTGATAGGCTGGTGGTGCCGATTGATGAACATTGTTCTGTTCATTGGTCACCTGCTTCCTGGTTGGAGATCTGTGCACCATATAGAGCTCATCCTTGGGTATTCTGGCCAGCCGCTGGCCAATGTAGGCTTGTTCCATTGGTGTGACTGGGTATTCTTGTTGCTGCAAAGAAGGAAAGTTTTAAAAATTAATTTTCAGTGTTTTTAAATTATTTTTTTTTATTAAATTATTATTTTGTTATATTATAATTTTTTTTTTTTAATTTTAGAATTTTTTAAAATCGTACTTTATTTTTCATAAGAGTATCTTTATTTTTAATATATATATTATATATTTATTATATATATTTATATATATATATTCCTAAAATTGTTTCATTTCTTACCCAAAATGTTTTAAAATATTTAAATTATTTTTATTTATTATTTTTTTCACATTATTATTATTTCTTCAATTTTTATTATTTTTTTTACATTTTTATTCATATTTATATTATTTGAGACCCAGACCCGTACTGTTCGAGACCCGAGGCTGGACTGAATATATTTTGGCCTGCCGCTGGGCTTTATAAACCTTTTGTAAGAACCAAATCCTTTCAAGGCCTACTTACTCGAATCGAAACTTTAATTTTCAAGTTGAAAAATCCCAAATTGAAAAGAGCAGGGTCACACTAAACATACTTTAAGGACCTAAACTATCCTCTCTACTCACCGAACTGGCCACATCGTCGCCGCTCTCTGTGGTGTAGTCGGTGAACCGCTTCTCGTCCTCCGGATTGGCCTTGAAGAACTCCTCCAGGACCTTACGCGTCTCAGAGAACTCGTACAGGTAGTCGAATGTGGGCGCCTTCTCACGCATCGTCGTCGCCGTCGTGGATGAGCGCTCCTCCTCGTGATCTATCAGATCGATAAGGTTGCCCATTGAGGCCTTCGCCGTGGCGGCCGAAGCTGTTGCCGCAGCAGGGGTGGACGCACCGCCACCGGAACTGGTTGTGGGCGAGACTCTCTGGGGGAAACCGGGCGGACGTTTGCGCTGTCCTGCCGATGGCTGGCTGCCGAAACGACGCGGGGATCCCTCGTACTCGGCTATCGGCAGCTGGCCAATCATTTTGGTCACCTTGAGGACGTCCTCGTTGCTGCCAGGATGCTGGCCGCTCGCCGCCTTGTTGTTCATCCAGTTGGTGTCGATATCGTCGAAGACTACGATCTCGCCATCGCGCAGACACTGGCCGTCGGCCTTGCCCACGTCCGTGGGTGAGCCGGGACTGGCTCGGTCCTGGGCCTCGAACTGGCCGCTGCCGGGACTGCGTCCCACCCGGATCTGGTGGAGATGAGGTCGCTGGTAGTAGTAGCTATTAGAGGAGTCCTGGCTGGACTCCAGCCTGCCCATGCCCATGCCCCCGCCGTTCGGCGACTGACGGCCCTGCAACGGAGCGTACGGCAAATCGGCATTCAGATCCGGTGAGTTCAGCACCGTGCTGGCGGGCGTAACGTTCGGACTATGGGTTCTCATCTCCCACACATATCGCTCCTGAGGCTGCTGCTGCTGTTGCTGCTGCTGCTGCTGCAGAATGTGAAGAGGATTGGCCATGGAGTCGTTGCTGCTGCCACTGCCGGACTTGGAGTTCATGGCTGCTCCTTGGAGTATTTGGAGTAACTGGATACACGGATGGCTGCTAGTGCTGCTCTAAAGGTGATGCTGCTACTGCTGCTGCGTCCGCTGCTGCTGCTTTCGCTGCTGCTCCGGCTGCTGCTGACATGCCTGGAAGGGTTGTTGGAAAGAAAAAAAAATTTCTGTGATTATTCGATTCCGATGATCTAACAGTGGCATGAATCACTGCCACTGACAGTACAACATCTACTGCTGCTGTTGCTGCTGCTGTCACTGCACTAGGTCACTAGGAGGTGGTTGTTACACGGCAAGAAAATGTGTGGATATTGCTTGGAGATGCCCTGACCAAGCCTCGATATTCACACCCGGCACTCATTCCCTTGCTTTGATGATGAACTCTTACCCCCCCTCCCTATATGGAAGAAGAAACCCCACTCCAAGGTCGTCTGCTAAAGCTCCTATATCCCATATCCCGTTGGGAGACTTTAAAGTCCTTGTGACCTCAGTTGTTGTTGTTATTCTCCTTCTGCGTCGTGGGACTTTAGGTGGCAGGTTGCAGGTTAGCAGCCAAATCAATGCTGGGGCAATTAACCCACTCTCGCCGGTGGGGTGGGCGGAGCCCGGGGGCACCTCACACGTGTGAGTATGTGTGTGTGTGTTGCACGGTTACGGGTCTACATGTCCGTGTATGAGCTGCGCACGTAAACTTGGCCTCCAAAAAAAAAAAAAAAAACACACACACACACTGCCTTTGGCTCCGCGCAGGCAAAACAAATCCTCGAGGCTGGCAGGACGAGAAAGGAAGCTGCAGCCTCAGCCCAGACACAAAAACAACAACAAAAAGGAGGTGGGGCTGGGTGGGGGGTTTGTCAGGAATGCACTGTAAACTCCTCCCACCCCCCTTGCAGACACTTGTATATATATATATATATATCTATATCTATTCTGCAGCTGTATGGGTATTGTTAAAAATCAATAGATTTGCCGAGTTTTTTTTGTTTCTTTTTCAGCTCCTTGTTCCTTTTTTTTCATGTTTTTTGGGCGGTTTGGGGGCAAACAACAACAAAAACACGCGAGGACTCCCCAATGTCTCGGGTCAGTCCTTGGAATATATCACTCCGATCTTCATCTATAATTTCAGTATTTTAAGAACTCGAAATAAGGTTTAAAAACAACACCTGTCGCCCGTTTTTGCAAATATTCTATGCGATTTACCATTTAATTCATATTGCACCGATTTAGCGAATTTCACTCTCTTCTTCTTACTTCTTCTGTACTGTGCCCATCACTAGCGCGATATCATGACGGTACTATCGGGCCTATCGATACATGGTTAGGGAAGAGAGTCTCCAGATGTTAGTAACACTATCGATAGGTGCTTTCCGATAAATCGAAAGATGGCGCCAGTTTTTAAAGCTTTAGCTTAATAATGAAAACAATTAAAACAGTGTTTTTTTTTATTTTAGCATTCAATGATTAATTTCTTCTTGCTTCGTTTTATTTATTATTTTGGTTTCTTTGTGTAGATCTTTGCAACATTCGAACTGGAAATACAGGATACAAGAGTGGTGTATAAAAGTTCGATGAGCAAAATTGACAAGGATTGTGTGGCAGTAAACAGTTTTCTTCTTGCTCTCGATCAACATTTAATTTACTCTCGAGGAGAATATATATATATATATATATATATATATATATATTTGTTTAGACTATATATTGAAACAATTGAGTGAGTGGTGTTTTTCTTTCGTTTGTTTTTTAATTGTGATGTTCGCTCTTTGCTTTTTAATACAATAGTTTTACATTGTAAAGTTGCTCTACTGGCTAAACTGGAAGGAATGATTGCATTTAATTATTTTTGGACACAAAGTGTTTGATAAACTTAATAAATTAGGGAATAAGGGTAAGGTAGTGTGTCAACAATATAAATAAGATCATCATAATTAACTAACAGATACGAGGGATAAGGTATGTTTTGGGTTTCGGGGTAGAGAGATGTCCTTGTTTTTTTGTTATTTTTGTTAATTAACAGCCAAGAACAACAAATGAAAACATTACACACTTAGGATCCTAAGGACATACATATGTACATATGTATAGTTCACTAAACATAATTTTGGTAGTTACATCTCCATTTTTGGGCTTAAACTAGTTGCTCGTTTGGTTTGCCTAACATTAGTAAATACACAATACGTACACTTAAGGCTAAACTACTTAATGATTATGATGTGTGGATTACAATTGGGGATTAGGGATCAAAATCAGAATCATAAACATAAAAAGAAATCAAATAGAAATAGATAATAGATAATAGATTCTACGGAAATGGATTATGTATCGATTAATTTAATAGCTGGGAGGCCGGAAATTAAAGCTTTGTATGTTTGACAGTGTCCGTCCAGTAGTTCTGTATTGTCATCGCCTCCAGGGAGTTGAGGAACGAATCGTTGTCCAGGCTATACATCTCATCCGAGTTGTCCTGCGGAATAGATACATTTCATTATTAAAACGTTCAAAAGGCCATATATGTATACTATAAACTTTGGTCACGAATCCTTACACTCACCCGCATGGTGCTGTCATCGATGTAGACACTGGAGTCCGGTTCGCTGAGGGCCTGCGGCTTGTTCAGATACCGCCTTCGGTACAGGACGATGCCAATGGTGCCCACTGTACAGCAGATTCCGAATACAGTGAAGCAGATCGCTGAAATGGCACCAGCGTCCAGGAAGTAGGTTCTCTACGGGGATTACAAAACAGCAATCTTTAAATACAGTACGAGGACTACGAGGAAGTCCAACCCACCTGAATGGCCAGTGCCTCGGAGGAGATGTTGCTCTCCTGATCGCCTTCTGGTCCGTCGTAGAAGCCACTGCCTGATATGCTGGGCGCCGCGGAGGCGGATCTCGTCAGGAGACTCTTGGTGTCGCTGGAGAAGTTGATGTAGCGATTGATGTGCTTGTACTCCGCCGACAGGACCTTCGACTTCCGCGACCGGTGCTCCGTCTCCGCCCGCCTCAGCTCATCCTCCTTGTTGGCGTTCTCGAGGGTGAACGGCGCCTTCTCACCCTCCGGGGACACGCCCACTCCCGCCAGCAGCTCATCTGACAGCCATTCGGTGTGGATTTTTGGCGTTGAGGGCGTGGCCGGAGCCGAAGGCGTCGTGGCTGTGGAGGGTGTTCCCCCAGATACTTCGGTTTGTTTCGCGGTCGCCAAAGTGGAAGCAGTTGTGGGTGTAGTTGTTGATCCTTCACCAGATCCTGATGAAGCTACTCCCGTGCCTGATCCTGATGCTCCTTGCCCAGATCCTGATCCCGATCCTGTTGCTTTAGCTTCTGTGGTCGTTCCACTGATTGGAATGGGTTTTGTGGTGGTACTGCTACTACTGCCATTTGTACTGCAAATTAAAGGATGTGTATTCTAGTCAAGGACATAATCCTGTAAGGACCTACCTAGTACTACTGCTAAAATTCGTAAAATTGTTTAGCTGGTCGGCGGTAAAGTCCGCCGAGCGTTTAAACTCGAACTGAGCCAGTTCCTCGGCGGCTTCGGCCTCGGCATCTGGTTCCTCCTCATCCTGGCCAGTCTCCACCTGCTCCTGCTTCTGCACTTGATCCTCCTGTTGCGGCTGCTCCTGCTCCTGCTCCTGCTCCTCCTCCACCTCCTCCTGAAGCTCTTCCAGCTCCTGTCGAGCCACCTGAGGCCGGTGGGTCAGGTCCATAATGTTGCTCTGGGTGGCGGTGGACCAGGTCTGACTCACAGTCGTCTGGTAGAGCTTTGTGGTACGAACCGACTGCGTGACGGCCGTCTCTTGGCTGGGATATGTATGGACATGGCTGGCAAGGAAGTGGGCTGTAATAGAGAACCCAAAACTATAAGTGGGCACTTGGAAGGTCTTTGGGAAGCAGGGATACCCACCGCTTAGGATGAGAGTTATCCAGAACCAGTGTGACCACCAGTAGAAAGTCATGATGCGCTCCGTGCTGTGATCTTGTCGAGACTGCCGCCGATTCTGTTGCCAGGAAACGAAACAAAAACAACAAATTAAACACCTTGGTGGATGAGTCATCGATATATTGCTAAATATTTTGCGTTTTACATTCTGAGAAATTGAGGAACTGGTTTTCATGAAGCCTTTTTGGGGCATTACTTCATGGCATCCATCTCCTTATCCCCCCGAAGGTCGACGACTGGTAAGTATGTATTTCTCCAGGGCCCAGCCTGCAGCCCAGCTCATCCACACCCACGACATTAATAAATAAAAGATGTAACTTGTCTCGGAAAGGCTTTTTTTGTTGGCCTGGCCCTCTTGAGCTTGGTCTTTCTTAATTGTTATTTTAGTTTATATACAAGTAGTCGACTTGAAGATACTCTCTAAAAAGATTTAAACGGTCTTAACTTTAAGAAATAATAAATTTCACATTTTTTAAGTCTTGTTTATACATATAGTCTTAAATATACATACATATAATGATTTTTTATCTAATAATTTTAAAGAACTTTGTTAAAGTTTATTCTTTGTTGTAGATTCGGAAGTCTCCAAGTACCGGGTATGATTTCTTAAAACTAGTATTTTTTGAAGACAAGTACCGGGTATGATTTCTTAAGCCTAGTATTTTTTACATCTATTCTATTACAGATCCTCTTACGTAAATCTCTTCCATCTTATAGACCCCTATCTTTGTTACAAACCATTCCACAACTACATCATTCCTCTTATACTCTCCAAGTACCGGGTATAATTAGCATACCAATTTTGGGCGTCTGTGAAAATAAATATTTGGTGGTGGCTGCCTTTGTTCTTTTTGCTTATTTCTTTTTTTTTTTTCGTGGAAACCACAAATTTTTAAAGCCCGGCCTAATTCGTACAAGTATCTTTCTATCTCTATCTCGTGTATCTAAGTATCTGTGTGTGGCACGCACATTAGCTTGTGCCAAAAAAAAAAAAAAGAGCAGAGAATCTGCTGTTAAACGTATTTTTCCCATTTATTTGGGTTAATGTCTCCGAACGAACAGTTGAGTGAAATGTCTTGTTTGAGCTGTGTTCTCTAACTGATAAGATAAAGTCTAGCGAGTACATATATACCATTAGTTTATATATTAGTATCTGACATATATATGACATTACGCATACGCCACTTTGTACACAAAAGCGGCGTGTTGACATGACGGCACCAGGCATCAGGCGTTAAAGGTCACAAAAACAATTTGCTTACTTGCTTTAAGCTTTTTTATACTTTTTCATACTTTTGATGCTTTAATGCTGTATGCTTTATGGTAATTCGAGTGGCCATAAAGCCAAAACAGCAATTGTTTAAGGCCCTGTCGGCGATTCGATGTAAAAAAAAAAAACAGAAGCCCAACAAACAGAGAAGTTCTACGAACCATAACGAATGACATCCATACCAGATTTCGGATGCTAGATTTAGATTTAGACTCTGAATCGGAATCAGATTTTAGATTCAAAAACTACTAAAACTTAGCATAATGCACCTGCTTGTTTTTTTGAACAGTGCTTTTAATCTACGATCTCTGAGCCGCATTTGAAATTGGACTCAAGGCCTAGGGGTTTTGGGCCCTTCAGGCCCTCTACTTGGCCGACCATTTCATAATAGCACCACAAAAAAGCACGGGGATTGAAAAGCAAGGCAGGGAAAAAGCAAAAATGCACTTTCAGATGCCCACAAAACTGGAGCAAGTGCCGTCGACACATTGCAATTAAGTCTGAAAGACACACACACAGTCGGGGCCCAGTCAGAGGAAAATAAATATTTGCTTCAATCAAGCGTTGGAATACCCTTCCTATGAAAGTGTCATAATAATGTTTGTTTGGATGTTTGCACTGTCATATAGTTTATTTTTTAAGAGAGAAGCTGTCTTGATTGTCACATAAGTCTAAAAATGAACCGGATTCTGGACGTTTTTATGGCTCACGGTTTTGGTTATTGTATGGGAACTGGTAATAAAAAATGTATATTTAAAGATGTTTATAAAAAAAAACGGTTAATTCTGAATGATATTTTTGTTTCAACAATATGCCAAAGTTAAGCCAGAGAATATGAAATAAAAAAGCTCCAGAACAAGGCAGAAAACCACTTCTTTGTATGGAAACTGGTACTAAGACTATATAGAGTTATATGTGGAGTATATTTATAATAAAGAGTTTAACTTTTATTTGAAGAATATAACAAAGTTAAGCCACACAATAAGCTTGAGAACAAAGCAGTAAACCTGTGACGAAGGCACTCTTTCATCCAAAAACTTATTTCTATTTATGACCCAACTACTTTTGACAAATATCGCAACAAAGTGCTAATACCTTCTGAAAACAGGGAACTAACTTAAGAGAACAAATAAAATTAAAACCCGCGGGGGAAAAAAAAATCCAAAAGAAAATACTGGCAACCTTCAAGAGCAACAAAAAAACGAAAAAAATAAAAAAAGAAAAAATTGAAAAAGGCGTCGCGCAAAGTGCAATAATTATATGCAAAGGGGGAGGGGCGGAGATCAAAAGACGGGGGAGCTCTGGGGTGGGACTGGAAAAGTGGGTGGGAAAGTTCACGCTCACTTTCTATTCAAGGCACGCGATTTTTGTGCACCGAAAGAAAAATACCAAGAAGGAATTTATATTTAAGCATTTGGTCACACTTTAAATTTTTATAAAGGATGGTTATTGGTTATCGATAAAAGCGATAGCGATAAATTGCTTATTATTTTACAAGAAATTGTTTAGATCTTAAGAATAGTTAGTTATAGAGGTTTATATAGATGTTTTCAATTGGAGTTTTCGATATAATATCTGTCTTAAAATAAATTATTGTATATAAGTGTTAGGTTATCGCACTATTTATCGATTTAAGCTAAAAAATTAAAAAAATGCCGATCTAGTTCTACAATTGCTATGAGATCCCCTTTAATGTCCAAAGTAACCTTTGGAACATCGTTCCCTTTTGATATCACAGCGATTCCAAATTTCGATTTAGACCCAACTAGTACACTGAACTCCCCAAATTGAAAAGGAACTCCCTTTTTTTTGTTACCAACTTTTGGTTCTTTTTTATACAATCATATCTAGATTACAAGCCAGCCTCCAAAGCAGCCAAAGGAGTAGCCATGTCTACGCCTAAATCTGGCAAGCCAGCGATCCGCAAGGTCAAGTTCTTGGTCGATTCTGACCAGGAGCCGGAGATGGATAATGAGGACGTGCGCTGTGCCGGCGGCGATGCCGAACTGCGAATGGCACAAAATAGACAGAAATCGAAGAAGGGCCGTCATAACGAGGAGCACTATCAAGAGATGCAACTTTCACCCAATGATCCGGACCGCCAAATGCTGTACAAGATATTCCAGAAGCTGAGTGTGGCCGAGCAAGTAGTGCTCCACCGCACGGTGCGATTCCTGCCGGACGCATGTTCGATTCATTGGCGAAACACATGCCGGAAGCTGGACTTCCGCGTCCTAAGCGAGGAGCTGCCGGTGGAGAGACATCGGAACTACATGTTGGCCCAAATGGCCGAACACTATCGCTCCGTATCCTTCGTGGCCCATCGCCTGCAGGAGAATCTCAACATCCTGGAGCGTGCGGGCGTGAAGTCCCTGAACGGTGTGCAGAGAGTGGAGCTGTTGCTACTCGAAGGGGAGGATTCGTTGCCGCTGGAGCTGGTTAAGGACGAAAGCCACGCTGGCGGAGATGCCAAGCCTAAAGGTGTGGCCCAGTGGCCGCTCCACGCCCTGCCCAAGCTGATGAAGAATGTGAAACGCGTGAAGGCCCAGTGCGACATCCAAGTGCACTTTGTCGAGCTCTTCACCGATCTGGAGCTGTTCATCCTCTACGGCAGCATATCCCAGTCGGCTCTCACCGGCATCTTCGAGCGCTGCCAGCAGCTGCAGAGGCTCTTCCTGAAGTTCAACGACCGCAATTACAGCCAGAAGCTCAGCCTGAAGAGCATCCGAAAGTGCACGATGCTGCGGGATCTCTCCGTGCCAGTGTCGCTCTTCAACCGCCATAAGGAGCTGCTCATTGATCTGCAGCAGCTCCATCTCCTCGAGATGACGCACTGCGATAAGAACGTGCCCCTGGCCATCGAATGCATGAGGTACGTGATCAACCAGAGGGCGGAAGCCATCGAGCAGGTGCAGCTGGACTGCAAGTGCTTCGCCAAGAAGCACATCAATTGGATGCAGGAGGTGGGCCTGGAGCGATGTACTGGGCTGCGCGGCCTCGTCCTGGTCAACTGCGTCTTTGGCAACCGCGAGATCTGCCAAATGACACTGCCCTGTGTCCAGAAGTACATCGCCCTCATCAGTTGCAAGGAAATCAAGGAGTACCAGGTGCTGGACATGGTTCGGCTGTGTGCCGGCCTCAGCGAGCTCTACCTGATCGATTGCCCACAGCTGACCTGGCGGATGCTGCAGGGACTCTATCGAATCCGCAGGGACGAGAACCTCTCCTATCCCCTAACGGTCGTGTTGGGAAGGTGTCCCACCCTCCGGAAGGACTACCAGACCATGGTGGGTTGAGCTGCGACCTTTATTCCTCTTCTTCTAAACTCTAACCCTAACCCTCCCCCTAGTACTCGAACTACTGGTTCTTCAAGCGGTCCTACATCAAGATCGATCGCATCCAGGGCGAAAGCCGACCCATCGAGGACATCCAGATATTTTTTTACCAAAACCCGGAATCGGACGAGAATCTGAAGCCGGCGCTGAAAATGAAATCAGCGCTGGATTAGATCCCATCAGGAGGAGTGGAGTATCCTCTTGTTGAATGGACGTTAATAGTTTAGATTTAATAACTTTAAATAGCTCATCGGTTAGATCCTAGCAGGAGAGTATCCATTTGTTGGCTAGACCGTTAATAGGATAGAGCTAGAGTAACTTGCAACTAAATATATATTATTTAAATTCGTAAAGATGTCTTTTATGAGCCGAAACGATCCCAACAATGGCAGGTAATTGTTGCTTTGCGACACAGTACCTGCTATTTTCCAGCATTTTGTATTTAAATATCTCTCTTCTATTTGTATTTTCCCCTTTAATTTCTCTAGAGAAGACTCTGAGAGCTTTCTTTGTCTTTTATTTTTTTGTTGTATTCACTTATCTAACAAATATGTTAGTCAGGGCCCCGCACATTTTTTGGCATGCAAATCCGACCAGCAAATCGAAAGTGAAGGCCCCGCCGGAACCGCCGGCTCTGAGAACAAAGTGAAATTTCATTTTCAAAGGCCTACTATATGGTGGAAATCGGGGTCACCAAACACCAGACAAAACAATTGCCAACGAATCCCATGTGCATTTCCAATTAAAAACCCAAATGAGCTTAGGAAGGTGATTATTTCGCTAAAAGATTGATCCATTTAACATATTTTATGGTGCAATTTCACAATTTAATAATTTCTTAGATAACTCCTCTATACTTTCTTTCGATTTTCGATTCGCCGCAGTGTCTCGGGTAATTCATAAAATGCGATAATGCACCCAGAGCCTAAATTGATTTTTTCACTTTTGATTAGATAACCCACTTGAGTTGAGGTGAGTCATGATAATAAATTGGAAAACTATAAAAAAAAAAATATGTACTCGGGTTCTGAAGCTGAACCACTATCACTACCTTTTGTTGGTAAACTACAATGGGCGGTGGGCTGACAATTTGATTTTGTTACTCCATTCCATTTATTATTTATTTTATTTGCCAGTCTTGCTCTGCTTTTGGCGTTGACTTTACTTTCTTTGATTGAAAAGTGAAATTTATCACAAATTTGTTTTTCTTTTGCAGTCTTGTCTGGCTATTATGTCTTTAAGAGTAATTATATCTAAAGGGCTTTCTTTATACCTCGAATTTTATTTGTACTTGAATTACTCGAACTATAGATATAGTTATTTGACAAGTTCTGGAGATATTCGATTTTTAGATGGACTCTAGGCTACTTTATACAATAATAGCATATTAAAGGATCTTTTCTCCTATTATGTCTTTAAGAGTAAATATCGACTTTAGATGTATGTACTTATTTTTCAAAATTTATTTGACAAATTCTGGAGATCTTTGGTGTTTTATATATCCCTATATAGTGATATAGACAGTCGAGTTATTTTTTCCATTTATAATAGCATATTGTAGGATCTTCACTGTATAGTATATTATATATAGTATATTATAGTATATTATATTTTGAACAGATATTATATCTAAAGAGGTTTTTAATTTAATTGCTTGGTGCTCGAACTAGATATAATAGGTTTTACCATATATGTATATAGGTATCTTTGACATATTATGGGAATCTTAAATATTTTATAATGTAATCCTTCGTTTAATTTATATTAGTGGATATTAGATGTCAGTGGATTTTTTGTGCTAGTATATCTTTAAAAATAATATGATTTTTTGTTTGATTTGTACCTGATTATCATATTTCTTTGACAAATTCTTGAGATCTTATAGTTGTTATATAGTTTTATATAGTATTATATAGTATTATATATAGTATTGTAGTATAGTATACTATATACTATAGTATATAGTATTTGGGAATCTTATTATCTTTGGCTTTGGGAATCTTATTTTTATTATTATTTCAAATATTATACTTTCTTTGCTATTAATGTTTTTATTTTTTTAATTGAAATATGTTAGTTTAGTTAGTTATAGCTACAATCTATAACAAACTAAAGAAAAAAACTATATTTTTCAAGTAAATTTATGGAGGCTTTGGGAGTCTCAAAGAAGTCTAAATACTTTAAATATAACTTTACTAATTTTGGTTTAATATTATTTAGCAGTCTTGTTTAGTAAAGTTAAGTACATATTTTTTTTAGTAAAGTTTAAGGATTGGCTGGCTTTAGATTCTACTTAATTCTTAAAGGGGTTCATATAGTTTAATATTATTTTTTTGGTTTTGTAGAACTATTACTACATGAACCTTTATTTAAATAAAGTATTATTGACTAGAACTAGGTGGCTGAGATTACTTAAAATATGTATAAGATAAGGCCCCGTGATTTCCTGGATTACACATATATACAAACATCCGCTCCAAATTATAATATGATATATCTTTTTCCATATAATGGAGATCTTAAATATTGTATAATGCACTCATTCCTTTTGGTTGATAATTGGATGTCTTTGAAGCTCAATTATTGAGCCATTCTTAAAGTCTTCTAATCGATAAAATACCAAAATTTAAAAATACTAAAATATATAGAAGTATATCCGTCCACCTGATCCCAAAAACACATCCATTAGAGCCACATTAGATACAAGTTCTATTCTGTGTAAACAATGCGAGGCGATACAAAAAATAAAAGAAAAACGAGAACTGCCATTTCAGGATTTGAGAATGAAAAATTTGAGATTACGGATCGATTTTAGCGTTCTTCAGTGCCGTGCGAACTCCGGAGGAGGCTGACTAAAGTCCGGCACTGGACGTGGCGCCTCCGGATAGCCGGGCGGCGGATAAGTAAAGTCCGGCGGAATGGAAACTGCACTCCCGGCATCTTCATAATTCGGATTCACGATCTGCGGCATGGGCAGAGACCCGTAGGGATAATAAGTCGGGTAGTAGGTACCCTCGTCTTGGGAGCTACCATCCACCAATCCACCATATCCATCGTCAAAGCCAGTCACTCTTATGCCGTCGAGATCGTCCATGCCGGGCCCTGCTCCAAGACCATTCACGCCGGCAGCTCCTTCAAAAGGTGAAGTTCCTCCTTGTCCAGTATATCCTCCCATGTCTCCTGAAAGATCTCCAAAACCTGCCTCAGCTCCAGTTCCACCAAATCCTGCTGCACCTTCACCATGTCCCGCACCAGCTTCACCAAATCCTGCTCCGTCTCCACTAAGATCTCCTGATCCTGCCATGCCAGGATCCATATTTGGATCGTCCTGGTATATGTGCATGCTGGCATTATAGGCTGGCATCATCATCGGCACATGGCCCATTCGGGTCATCTGGGCGTTCTCCGAGCGAATATCGTGGATGATGGGCATCAAGGCGTCCAGGAGCGGAATCTCCGTCTGCAGCACGGCCGCCTGGAGGCGATGCTGGTAATGTGGAGTTAGCAAGAATGAAGGCGACAAGTTGGCGTTAAAAATAGAGCAGTTGGGATCCCGATTTCCCGTCTTCTCCATCAGATTCAGGTCCATGAGACTGTAGCTCTGGAAGGCCATGTTGAGGGCGCCGGGATCCAGCGGCGATGCCTCAAAGCAGCCCATCGGCTCAATGGTAAACGTCTGAGGCTTCCCGCTAGCTATATTCACCGGAATCATAGTCACCGTAGTCTTGGGTTCTAGCACCCCCTCCGGAGGCGGTCTGTCTGGATTGGCAAAGTGATCCATGGCGTTGATTAGCGACGGCATGTTCGGCAGACATCCTGCCGTGGCGGTGGGCAGCACTCCCTGTGGCAGATGCAACGTAGCCCGAGTGATGCCCGGACGGGCCGCATAGCTGCAGTTCTCGTCGCCCGACTGGGGAAGATATTCGGGTCCAGTGTAGACCATTTCGACGGTGGCACCGTCGCGGTGGACACGGTTGCTCAGAACGCGCCAGTCGTATGGAGCCTGGTAGGAGTTGGGTGGCCAATTGGCTTCCTGGAAGCTTCCTGAATTCTCCGACTGGAAGGACTCGTTGCTGGGCTGCTGGGCCTCAATTTCGGCCTCAATCCTCTGCCGCGGGACAAATTCCGGACAATCTACACGTGGAAAGCCATTGTTCAGATTTGGAACGTTAATGGGAATCGTCGGAGGAGGCGGAGGAGGAGGAGGAAGAGTCTGCGGTAGAGGCTGCTGCTGCTGCTGTTGTGGCATATACTGCATTTGGGGTTGGAACTGTGGCTGCTGATAGCTCTGTCCCGGGAGCTGCTGCACATATTGTGGTTTGTGGAACGGCGGCCTGGGCATCACCGGCTGCTGAAGATTCAGTTGCTGCAACGATGGATGCTGGATATTAAGACTATGGAACGACTGCTGCTGCATGGGCGCCATGGGCTGGTGCATCTGTGGGATATGTTGCAGCGACTGGTGCTGCTGTGGCAAGAAATGATGCTGCTGCCTGTTTGGCTGATAATGATACTTCGGTGGCCTGAACTGCTGATGATGCAAATGCTGCTGCTGCTGCCCGAATAGTTGCTGTTGATGCTGCTGTTGCATTTGCCGCTCAAAGTTCTTGTGAAAGTTTGGACGCGGAAAGTTCTGGTGCGGATGCTGCTGCTGACGATTCTTAGGGAAGAAATGCTGCTGCTGCTGCTGCTGCTGTGGACCATTTGGTCGATGTTGGAACTGCTGTCTGGGCTGAAACTGTTGCTGCATCGGCTGCTGATTCTGATTCTTTTTATTCACATAGTGCTGCTGCTGCTGCTGGTGCTGGTGCTGGGGACTATGCATCTTATGGTGCTGATTCTTCTGGTTGTGATTCTTGTGAGCTTGATTTTGATGCTGTTGCTGCTGAGGACTATGCATCTTCTGATTCTGAATCTGATTCTGTTGCTGCTGCTGCTGTTGCAAATGTGGCTGAGGCTGAGGCTGATGCTGCTGCTGCTGCTGCTGCGGCTTCGCCTTGTTCTGGGGCTGCCCATTTTGCTGATTCACATTGTGATTCTTATTCGGGTTCTGGTTCTGGTGCTGACCACCCTTTGGCTGCTGCGCCTGCTGCCCTGGCTTTGGATTCATTTGCTTCTGTTGCTGCAACCAGGAACCATAAAATTTAATAGTATTTGGCCTAGGGCACTAAGCCTTTTTTTTGTTCTACTAACTTGTAAATCTACAAAGCTGTCTAGTATTACTGTGTATGTATATTGTACGTCTATTCTGACCCTATTGTATGAAGGGAGTAGGTCGACTGAGGTTACTGCCAAGGGTCGACAGCCTAGATATTGAATTGAAAAGTCAAAGGCTACTTGGTTCTTCAGAAAACACAAATTAAACTGAAAATTATAGTATTTCTCATCCTACATAAACATGGTCTTTGTATCTGAAGAGCTGAAGGAGTTTTAACTTTAATTTTAACTTTCTTACGCGTATCTTATTCTAGTAACTAGTACTAGTAGTAGTCTTTATTAACTATTAACTAGAAAAGGCTTATTCTGATTCAAACTACATAAAAAAAAACAACTTTAACAAGAATGCGCGCATGCGTCTGCAACCTAACCCTACTTTCCCTATTTTTAGGGAGTCCACTCCCAAAACTTTCTTAAATGTGCTTTCCTAAGAGAACCTTGAAGTTATGTTCGAATACCGTTCTTCCTAAATACACTACCAAGTTTTAGATAAAAAAAAATAATTATTTACGTTTCCTGGCTGCCTATTCTGCTGTTGCTGCTGTGGATTCTTTTGCTGCTTCTTCTGACTATTCTCAGGCATGGATCCTTCGGCCGGTGGAACTTCGCTGGCTGACTTTAGAGGCTGGCCCTGGTTTTGGTTCTGGTTCTGACCTTGATTCTGATTCTTCTTCGGCATGGCCTGACCTCCGGATGAATCCACCTTGCCACCTTGTGGCACTGCTGCCTGTGGCGACTGCTGCTGTTTTTGCTGTTGCTGCAGCTTATGTTCTGCCTGGGGAATGGTCTTTGGCTTCTCGCCGCTTCCATTCGGCGGCGCCTTTTGGAACTTTTGATGATTTGGCTTCATTGATGACTGTGTCTAGTGCTGGGGAACTTACGGTTCGGCAATGCGCCTTTAAATAGTTGTTAAGAAAAAAAAAATACGAAGAAAAAAGGCACAACTTTTCACCTGAATTTTTGGGAATAAACAAGATTCGTGTCACGTGTTGCCTGACAGCCTCCTTACTTTTAAACGGTACACCTTCAACACTGGCTGAAGCTTGACACCAGGGTTGCTACGATATCGAACAACCGATAACGCGCACATGGTAATCGATAACAGATTTTAGAGGTACAAGAGTGTTTTTTTTAGGTTAAACTTGAATTAGAGGACAAATCATTTAAATAACCTTGCTTATTTGGCTAATAACACCAATTAATGGCTTAAACATCTAACCATTTTGTTCTATATAGGTACAATTTGTCAAATCATCGTTTAAATTAAATTGTTCAATGACCAGGTGGACATTATTGTTAACTTAATTATATTATTTTAAGTGCCAAGCATGTGGAACACAATACTCTTACAGATACCTATATCACATACATATTTTCTGTGTATTATTTCCATTCAATCGACTTTGTTTCCCCATCATTAGCCCCCATGATCGGATCGCAATATTTCATAGTTTTACGCAAGATGCAACAATGGGCGAATGCCAAGATGAGATTTCCATTTCCAAGAGGCCAAGAGTTGCGTTTTTCGGTTTGCTCCGCTTTTTATTGTCTCTATTGTCTTGGCATCTTGGTTTGGAAGCTTGGAAGCTGCAATTGCAGTTGAAAAAAAAACAATAAAACAAAAAAACAACCCAACCGGATGTACTGCAAAAATTTTAAAATTCATTCCCATTTTTCTGCATATGATTTTTCAGTTTTTTTTTTTTTGTTTGTTTTGTTAATCACATTTTTCACTTCCCCCCTCTAGAGATAAGTGTATATTTTTTTTTTACCAGTAACTTACAGTTTTCTGTTGTGGTTCGCTTTCGAGTTTCCTTGATGAGTTTTCGATAAATATTTTCCGGTTTTCAGAATACAAGCTGCAATGAAAATTTCAAAATTAAAATATTGAGTTTCTTGAAATTGAATAAAATTTGAATTTTTATTTTTGAAGGACATGTTGTATATGTTTTGATTTTTGTCTCATTTGGATGCGCTCCAGTGCGGCTACACCTGGCTGATCTCTTGGCCCCTGATTATGTATATATCTTAAGATTTAGTTTCAGTATGAGTTTCGTTTTGCTTTTGACTGTCTTTTTTTTTTTTGGTTAATCAAGTCTAGCTGCCTTGGCGTTGGGTTAATTACAACCTGGCTGGGTGCGTTTTTGAAGCCATTACTTTTGTGTGATTATTTTTTTTTTTAAGTTTTTACCATAAAGCCAACAGCGTCTCTTATGCAATGCGAGCCAATTAATTGTAATTTGCTATGGGGCGATAAGAACGTGCTCGAGTGTAACGAGAAATTCTCTGGGTTCGGTTCAGAAGCTCAACTCATCTGAGCTCTACCATAAAAAATAAACAGCAGGCGGAAAACAATTAAAGCCATTTATATAATTTTCAGAGAGTTTTTAATTTGAATTTTGTAAAGTGTTTTTTGAAAAAGTTTGTTTTTGATTTACGATATGTTTTATCGCAAATAGTTATCGAAATTTGCACATCAGCAAGATGCAAGTCCTAGGAACGCACTTATTTAATACTTTACATTACTTAGTAAGACTTTATTTAATAATAATTACTTTAAAAATTATTTCAGTAGAGATATGGTGCTCTTGATTTAATATTTATGTTCTTACTTGATTTCAAATTAAGAAAGTAATAGGTCTATCTTCTTTAGACTGTAAGACTGAGTCCTAGGGATGTACCATTCGAAAGCCTTTTCAAGTTTTAATTAATTTTTAATATTTATTTTTAGTAAAATTAAGCAGTTCTAGTCCCTCTAAATGTATATTTCTCATTATTTACCTTGTTCTATTTTATTTCCAGAACAAGAAAGTGACAAACCCATTTTTTTGAGGCTATTTTTGCTTTGAAATTCCAGGTAAGTTTCAGTTTCTTTCCCCTTCGCTTTCATATTACCAATAAACCGACGTGTCTGGCATGGCCAAAATGGTCGAGGAAAACCCAGAAACCAAGAAAACAAAACAAAAACATTCTATTGGGGTCACTAGAAGCGGTCGCCGGTAGAATTTTTTGTGGGTTTCGGGTTGTGGGTGCGACGATTATGCGCTCTGACACCGATTCCCGCCGGCTGATAAGTCCCGCCGTGGAATTGATTAGCTGACCCATAACTGGGATTACAACAAAAATATTGAATAGCTTCGAGGGCGGGAGAGACCATCAAAAGTTGTGACATTTGACCGGGTTCAGTAATACAACCTGAATGAACCAGTTTGATAGGTAAATAATTCAATAAATGATAATTGAGGTCATTTGAAATAGAACAATGCTTTTGGGCAAATAGTTACTTGGTTTAATGACTAACATAAATATTAATCGTGGTTCTAATATGGTAGTATCAACTCAAAAATACATGGAATACTATTGTATATACTGTGCTACAAAAATAAAAAAGCCAAAACAAAGTCTCAACTTTTTAAACGTCCAACTAATGAACTTCGTTTTGCCAAATCAATCGATTAATTTGACAAATGAAGCCATTAGCTTTTCGTCATCTATTTCTGTTGTCTTTTGACTTCCTCGCCAGTTGGCCTTTCCCCTTTTTGTTTTTGTATCTCTTAGTTTGTCATATTTGTAATATGGTGTCTTTAAATCCCAAAAAAAGCAGCTCTCACAAAGCTTGTATGCCCTTCAGGGACTATGGCTTAATAGAGGTCTCCCCATTTTCAAGGCATCCCATCGCGAAAAATGGACAAAAAATCTGAAAAATATTTTATCCCAGGATTTTGATGCAAAATGGTGGAAAATTGAGGTACTCCGCTTGAGAATCGGATGAGAATTGGGGAAGATATAGTGACTATATTATAGTCATCACATGCGGCCGTATAGGGGAAAACCTCATTTTTAAGGCATTCCATCAGGAAAAATGGACAAAAAATCTGAAAAATATTTTATCCCAGGATTTTGATTCAGAATGGTGGAGAATCGATCTAGAAATCGTTTCAGGTACCCCGCTTGAGAATCGGATGAGAATTGGGGAAGATATAGACATCACTGTGGACCCTATAGAGGACTATACCTACTAATCCCTACTCACAGGGATGGCCATATCTCTGATTATACATATCCTATTCCTAAATGAGAGACTACAATCATTGATTAATTCTTTAATATTTTATAACTTTGTAGTACCCACTTGAAGAGTAAAAATATCAAAAATCCTAATAGCTGTATGGCCATCCAAAGACTTTGTTGCAAGCGTTCGTTCAACTTTGCATTTGAATTTGCAAATCGCCGGCACGCCACATCCCAGCCATCATATTATAATGATATGGCTAATTTCGATGCTTCGCACATACATATGTCTCGGATGAACGGTAAGAGATGATGGATGAAGGGAGGGAAGGGAGGGGGAGTATCGGAAGGGGCCAAGTTAAGCTAACTATGTGCAAATGATCGGTTAAAAAAAAAAAGAAAAAAAAAAAAAAAACAAGAAAACGAAAAACGAAGTGAAGCGAAAATGTATTTGCCAAATTTTTAATAACCATAATTAAGTGCTTAAGGCCAGGCAGGAAATTGCATAATTGCGTTGACTACCACCACAGGTGATGTCTGCATTGTCTGCCTCCCCCTACTACCTGTCGTACCCCCCTTAAGTCTCACCATTATGCAAATGCTTTTTTGCCTTTTTTCCCGCCTTGTTCTAGTCGCTGGTACATCGTCACGTATGTCCCAAAGTCGCAAAAAAAAAAACGTATCAGAACGAAAACCTCACTTTGACGTCAATCGCCAGCTAGGGGGGTCTCTGAAGCTCCACCTTCTGCCTGCCACATTCTGATTAAATCCCCCCTTTTGAAATCAACAAATATCCACGAAATCGAAGAAAGAGCACGTTTCGGAAAATGCAATTCTCAAATATGCATAATATTTTGAGATTATTTTTTAAGGCAGGGATTTTCCATTCTATTAAGAGACTATGTATTTCGAGCAGTGTAGGGTTCTCCGGGAGCAGCGGGAAAAACTTTCATTTCAACCATATTGGTTAATGACTCTCAGGGCGAGGTCTTGGCATTGAAATTTGATTATTGATGATTGCACGCGAGCTCCCAAGAGTGGAGAGAGATATATGTATATGTATATATGTGGTTCCAAAACGAAACCGAAACCAACTAAAAACTAAACAATTTGAAACTTCAGACTTTGAAGAAACTGAAAAAGTAAACCGAAAAACATTGCATCTTCCATTCAAAAGTGGGAAAACCTTTCCATTTGCTACCGTTTTCAGACAATGGGGGCCTGAATCCCCCCCTTCTTTGGATTCCCGGGGGGGGAGCAGGCCCACTTTTACTTTCGGCTAATTGCATTACTTGGCCAGCAGGCGGCGCCACTTTCAAAAACTAAACTAAAAATAAAATTAACAATATAATATACATACATATATCTCTTAAAAAGCAATTTCCTTTTGTTGCAAAACTCTATTTGATGCCATTGAGTGAAGAGAGACGTTAAAGGGGTGACATCATAATGGGTCCTACATACATACTTCCCCCTAATTAATTACCCCCTAATTGTGATTAATCAATTTGCCATCTCATGTCTATCATGCAGGCATAATGCGTTACATGATTTTAAATATGGATAATTGGCAAGAGAGATGGTGAGGAGTAGAGGAGCCTCAACATTTAAAGCCTGATCATTATTAGATGGAAGATACATACAAAGATGGGGAGTACCTTAGTTCCTGTTTTGCCAATTTCCTTACCGGATGTTGGGAGGGGAATGACTGGCATACCACCAGGCTGGCTGGCAGATGCCCAGTACTCCATAGGCTTTAAAAGTCACTCTGGAAGAATAGCTAGTGAGTCATTTATGATGACAAATTTTGCTCACCAGGTCGTCTTCCCTTAAAAACCCATTTTAAATAGTGACTAATGACAGTATTTTAATGAAATTACTGGGCAATAAAAAAAGAGACATCCCTAAAATCATATTCCTGAATGGATTTAATACCATTGCGGAAATTCCTTTCAAGGTCTTGCTTGGAAAAAAAAAAAACCGAGAACTTCAAAGGAAAATATGTGCGGAAGAGCGGAAAATACATTTTCCCAGTGACTCGGAGAGGGGGAAAATGAGAAATGCTTAGATATTTAGCAAAAGAAAAGTCGCTGGAGCGACAATTCCCGTTCCGCTGTTGGTTTTAATTTCTATATATGGGAGGGGCACGAGGTGCTATAATACATAGATGAGATGTGTGCATTTTATATAACTTTTTTTTTAGACTTTTGTTTGTCTTTTTGTGGCTTAGATATACAGGGTTTTTTAAAGACAAATGGATGACTTCATAGAATTAATAATCAATAGTGTCATTCATTGGTTGGTTACAACGACTATATTGGATATTGAGGATTTTAAGAAATTAAAGCTTAAATTTATTGAAAGGTAATCGAGTGTTTATTAAAATGCTCATTAAAATCTGCTTAAAGACAGTAATCTTATATCTTCCTTAAAAAATCGGTAATAACGTCGACTCAATGGCTTAGACTTTTCATTGAAAAATCGTATCTAAAAAGAGCTTTAAAATCTGTCGATTCTATCGATAGGTAATCGAGAATTGATACTCTCTGCTTATTAGATGAAGATCTCTTATGCAAAGAGAGCTCCCCTCTTAAAATCTATAGTTTTAGAGATTATTCTCATACTCTATTCAAAAGCAGACTTTTTAGTGTCGATTTTATCGATAGTTAATCAAATTTAGAAACTCTTGTATTCAAAGACATCTCTCCTTTTCTAAATCTGTAGTTTCAGGGATAATTCTCATTTTTAACAGACTTTTCATTGTCGATTCAATCGATGGTTCATCTTCTCCAGAAAGAGAGCTTTAAAATGTATCGATTCTATCGATAGTTAATCGATTGCTCATTAACTCTCCTTAGAAGTATGAAATCTCTTAAGCAAAAAGAGCTCTCCCTCTCAAAATCAATAGTTACTTCGTTTGTATTCAATCTCTACTTAATAGCCCAGACTTTTCATTGGAAAAAACTTAATTTTTTTTTATTCAATCGATAGTTAATCGATTTCCCTTTAACTCTGCTTAATAATAGAAAATCTCTTATGCAAAAAGAGCTCTCTTTTTCAAAATCGACTGCATTTTTCGCATTTTTCCGCATTTTGCCGTCCCAGAAATTAGAGGAAAGGTAGGCAAATTGTCATCAAAAGGGGACCGGGGACCTGAACAGAGACCCTCGGTTGGGGCACATCCGCAGGCCGGGACGGCCAACGGGACGTATGAGTAACGTCAATTGAATTGACAGTTTAACAACAAATTACGCAACAGCCCGAAGGGGGGTGGGGAGGCAGCCCAGAGGGGCCGCCAGACAATAGCCCGGGGGCCTCATTAAATGCCGTTGAGGAGAATGTATGTGAGCTAATTATTTCTAGCTGCACAGCAAACAATTTAGATCAACATAAGTGGGTTATATGAATATACCGATATATGTGAATATTTAATAACTTAGCTAATCCACCAGACTTGTATTTGTAAGTTATGCATAATCCCTATTGGAAGAAAGGCATTTGTTTCAGTGCATGTCCGTGCTATTGTTGCATTTTTTTGTGACCCCCTCCCCTTGGCCAACCGACTTGTGTAATCCAAAACGGTGCCCCACTGTAGAGTGACCCGGAATGCGATGGCGGTGACATCACAGCTGAGTGGAACAATAATAATGGCAGTACAATAGTACCACAGCCACCCACTTCGGATTCGGATCCAATCGGTATAAATAAATTAAAGCGCGATTTGCATAAATTTGTAATCGAATCGAGTTGAGGTGACAAAGCGTGTAATTTATGCCACAGTTCGAGGGGTCGGACTCACTCTGATATCTCGGTATTATTTTGGTGAAGACACCTATTGTGTCTCCCTGTGTGTGTTGCCACAAAAGGCAAAAACAAATAATAATAAAAATAATAAGAGGCGGCGACAATGAAATTGTTTAACTGCAACTGCAACGGCATTAGCATTTAAATTTCCATTTGCATCAAGAGTTGGAGGTCTCCCAAGGCGGGATCTTCTATATTCTCCCATAATGATGTTCGCAAATTTGTGCAGTTTTTTTTTTTGGTCACTATTCGAAAGTCATAGAGTCATTCTGGGCCTTTGCCAATGACATTGTAATTCCCACAGCCGAAAAGTAGAGGGTCAACAGTGATTTTGGTTCGAGGGGTCTCTAGGGAAAAGGCCTGCTAGGAATTAGTTTCTTTAAATACTATAGTTTTAGTTTTAGTTCTAAAATAAAATTTTGATTATTCCATCATTGAGACTGAAGAATTTCGCATTCGATTTGGGTCAATGGGTGAAAAAGTGGGAACCTTGACGCGATCCTAGAGACACGAGTCTCGATGCCGAAACGGAACTGTGACTCGGGGAAGGTCAAAAGGCCCACGATCTTGACGGAGATGCCAAGTTCAAAGTCAAGACAACAATAATAAACAGAGTGATAACAAAGCCAACAAGGAAGTGTGAAGTAAGCCAAACAATCGAAAACCCCCTCTTGTAAGACACACACAAGAGGAGGGCACACCAGCTGTCGAAGACTATAACTTGAAATTCGAGACTCCAAGACTCCGAACTCGAAACCCGAGACTTAAATTATTCGATATGGAGGCTTCCATCCTCGCCGCCGGCAAATAAATCACTTGCCCCATTGATCACTCAATGTTTCCATCCATCTTTTTATGATCGAAGTGATCAGACTCCCCCTCCACTCCTGGCATTGGCCTAAATATGGTTATAGTATGGCTAAAACCGAAATAAACTTAATTGTTAATCATTTTAAATTAGAATTGAAATTGAAAAAAAAAAAAATAAGTGACACAACCAGATGTGATGATTCCCAGTTACAGACTGAATCACGACTTGAATCGTAGAGGCCTGGCTTTGAATATTAATTTATAATTATTTCGAAAAAAAGGCAACATTTTGAGGAAGTAGCACGCTTCTCCCCCCATCCCTTCGGGCCATATAAGTGAATTCCCCCCTTCGTGGTGGGGGCACCTTTTCCATTTCGATCCGCTCTTTTCAGAGATCCCCACCTTTCCAGATGTACAAGTCACAACAGACATGCTATTAAGATCTTGGGTTCTTAAGGGGCTTGACTAAGGGATACTCATGAAAGGGAATAGGATCTTATAGGGTGTATATCTTGAAGTTTATATATTAAACCAAAGAAATATGATTTGGAGGATAATATGTAGGAATTATTGGCTTTTATTTAAGGTTTTTAAAAATACCAGAGACATTGAGCTTAACTTTTCAAAACCCTTGATGGCCTTTTTTAAGAATTGTTGGGGATTTGAGGAAACAATTTTAAAGAAAACTATAATAGATATATTTCAGAACAATATTCAGATAATAAAATATTAAATTTAAGATTTTCAATAATTTTGATTAGAAAATTGGAAAATCTATAATTGTTATATCATACCAGAAGGGTTTTTATGGATTTTCAAATACTCTCATGTCCTGAAATAGTCCTGAAGCAATATGTATCTCGAAACCCCTCAAAACCCCTCCACAAAACCGATATCTCACCTCTTATTTTCACCTTTCGAGGGTATTTCAGTAGCCGCAGCTGATTCAGAGTCTGTTGTTGATTCTACTTACTTAACGTGTGGCCTCTATGCCCGGCCAGTCATAAACTGGTTTAACGACTCGAAGTTCTACACAACCGTATCGTACAGAAGTGAACTTATACACGGGTATATCCGATGAGAGAGGGTCTGACCCAGGGGGCGAGTGAGACGGGGCGAGATATAGAGTCAGGTAGGCACTATAGTGTCCGCCGTTGGAAAAATATAACAAAAATGTTAATCAGCCAATTGAGGCTGCACTTGGACTTGACAGCAGCTGCCTGCACTTGATAACTATGGCAATCGCAAAAAATAGAATATATAGAAAATGGAATACTATGTATACTGAGTGATGAGTCATAACCCATCTAGGCCAGGAAACACCACTCCCCCACCCCAACAGTGCCACCTCCCTATGGCCTATAACTACCGATAAGATAAGATACAAAAACATGATGAACAAAAAATGGAAAGAAAAAAAAGAAAGAAAAATAGTGGTAGCATCAGAATCAGTGCATGGCAGCTGGCAAAGTGTAAATGATTTAATATGCGACCAGTTAGCAGCATAAAAAAGCATACACCACCAATTGCCAATCCAGTTAAGAAAGGCATTAAGCCAAAAGCAACAGTACGCTGCTCGCTAACTGTAAAGAAAAAATAATAATAATAATAATAGCAAAGCGGGCCAAATAGATAGATAAAATCGCAGAGTCCGGGGCTGGCTCTATGGGGTTAACTCACTTTATCAGAGATCACTTAGCACCAAAGTGCGGCCAACTACAGTGGCTCTTAATAATTATCAACTCTTTCAATCCTATCAGAGCTTATAGCTGTAAAGTATATTCATAACAAAGAGATAATGGAAGACACTTGCTTTGTCTGGGTGGCTAAAACTCTTGCTTTATCAATACAATATATCATAAAATTTGTCAATAGGCCATAAAGCCCATTAGTCATGCAAAAAAATGTATTTCAACAAGGTAAGGAGGTCTATAATTGAGTAAGAGGAGTATATGATACCGGGTACTCTTCTCATTTTCAGGATAATAGACTAAAAACTTGTATTTTTCAAGAGGACCTTAAAGAGTTGGAATTATAAACTATAATTCTTTAAAAACCAAGTTTTAAACTAAGCATTAGGGGGTATAGTTGAGCATGGGGAGTATATGATACCCGGTACTACTCTTGTTTCCAGGATAATTGATAAAAAACTTGTAGTTTTCAAAGAGAACCATAATGGGTTAGAATTCTAAACTATAATTCTTTAAAAACCAAGTCTAAAACTAAACATTAGGGGGTATAGTTAAGTATGAAGAGTATATGTATGATACCCGGTACTACTCTTGTTTCCAGGATTATAGACTGATTGTAATTTTTAAAGAGTTGGAATTATAATAAATAAAATTCTTAAATATATCAAGTCCCAAACTTTACAATAAGGGGTATAGTTGAGTATGAGGAGTATATGATACCCAGTACTTTTCGCATTTCCAGGATAATGGACTGAAAACTTGTAGTTTTTAAAGAGAACCATAAGGAGTTCGAATTCTAAACTATAATTCCTTAAAAACCAATTCCCAAACTTAACATTAAGCCCTCATGATCTTGACCATATCCTAAACATAAAGTATAGACCCTAAAAGATCTTCAATCTGCATTTTCTCCTCAAGATTTTTTGGGACAACAAACCCCTTCTATAGTGTTTTCTTATTCAGGATCTATAACACTTTCTGTTAACCATGGCTTACTGTATTTATTAGCAATTGGCAACAGCGGCTTTTAGGCTTTTCGGGCTTTTTGGGGCTTTCGGCCATGCTCGACTAACTAACTGAGCCTCGTTTAACGGTCTCCTACAGTGATATTTTTGGCCAGCTGCTTGGCCATAAACAATAGACCATATTGCAGGAGATTCCTCCATTCATTTTCCTGTCCAGGAGATCCTTGCTCTGGCACACACACACACATACACACACGTGCGGCGTAAAAAGGACCTGCAGTTTGTTGTTTGACTTTTGGTTTATTGATTTTTAGCAGCCAGAGACAGGTTCACCAAGGAAAACACTGAAAACACTGGGAAACACACCCTTGTTGTGTTTGTATGCGTGATGGTATGCCTCTGTGTGTGTGTGTATGTGTGTGTATCCCTGGACAACAAAAACAAATACACCAAAGAAAGCCAAGGAGCTAATTAAATAAAAAGGCGGCTGCTATATTTTTCAACAGCCAGGATATTAAGGATATGTGTTTGGTATTTTTTTTTTTTCTCAACTCACTTTTAAGGCCAATTACACTTTGTATTTAATATTTTCTTTTTCGGTTTTTTAATTGAGATGTTTAGGTATATATCTGTATTAAATTTTTTTTTTTTGGTAAAGGCGGGCGTCTAAAACAACAACACAAAAGTGGCAACAGCACGCCAAAGACACTCACACACTCGAAAAAAAAAATTGGTTAAAACATAAAGCGACGATATACCGCGAATCCGCGAAATCGCACCTTGTTTTCCAAGCTGCGCGAACGTTATGAATCGTATGGATTCGTATACGTTATGGCCTCATCGACTGTTACCTCTGGGAAATGGCCGTGTGAATGGCAAAAATGGTAGACTGGGCGCCATTTATTTGAAATGTTTTCAACTTCAAAGATAGTCGGCCAAAAACTGAGGTTCTTGAGCTTAATATTCAATAATAATAGCTTAAGGATTTTGAATGTTTTGAAAAAGTGATTTAAAAGTGAAAGTGATTTAAAGTTTTAAAGTGATTCTCGAAAATAAATATTCGGAGGGTAAGTATATGAAAAATTACTGTTTTAACTTACCATATTTTAATAGATTCTTCAGATACCACAAAAATATAAAATTTTTAATATTTAGAAAGTTCAATTGAATTCGTTTTAAAAACAAAAGCTTTCTAGAACTTTATGTTTCTTTAAAATTTCTATTGTTTTATTATTTTAAAGAAATTATAGAATTTTAAACTATACTGAGCATTAAAATCAGTTAAAAAGAGCACACAAAAAAGGCTATTAAAAAATTTTCGTTAAATTCTAACTTAAAAACAACATTAAAACAAAAAAAAAATGTAAAAAATAGACTTCGAATTGAAGTCAAACACAGTAAACATTTCTTCATTTTTCAAAAAAATACAAAATACTAAAATTAAAAAAAACTATTTAAAAACAAAAATAAACTATTAATTACACAATAAAATGAAATTTGTGGTTTTCAAAAACAATTTTCATCATCGAACGAAAATACCAAAGAGAAATATACCAGGCAGAAGAGCTGCGGTTATCGATAGTTCCGCGGCCACCACTAGCGACGCTATCGCCAGTCAAACTGCCATCCCTAGTGCTGGGCAAACAAATTCATTTGAAAAAGAACTGCATTTTTGTGGTTAAAATAGTGCGAAATAAAGTGAAGAACCATAGATGTGCTCGTATAAAGTGCCCCCTGCAATCCTCTAAAAGGTAAGTTGAAGCTAAGAAGTCGCCAGGCTGCGCGGAACTTGCCGCAAATCAAAAATGGCCGAGGGTTCGCGTCACTTTTATGCGCCCTGCGTGTTTTTTTTTTGTGTTGCTTGTTTTTTGCGTCTTTGGCTGCGCTGGTGTTGGTGAAATAGTTTTATTATTGTTGCAACAACAACAACAAACGGAAACTAGGACAGCGCGCCACAAGACTTGTTGTGCTTTAGAGTTCTGTGTGGGTAGTTCTTATGTAGTTGGTGTCCATCGTTGCAGCATCCAGAGATCCTAGACGAGATCGCCGAGATGTCCTCCTACTTTGGCGTCTACATTCCGCCCACGAAGATCGGCTTCGAGGGTACGGCGACCCAGTGCGCTGGCTCCATAGCAGCGTTGAACATTAAGACCGGACCACCAGTGGTGGCGATATCAGTTCCAGTGTCAGTGCCAGTGTCAGGCTCATCCGATCCGGTGGACTTGGCCGGTGATTCTGGCGCTGAAAATGCTGATGCCAATGCCGGAAAGTACGAGGATCCGGACTATCCACGTAAGTAGAAGCGGGACGGACGATGCATTGTTCCAGTTCCAGTTGTTTGCCGCTTGTTGCTGTTGGAAATACCTAGCATTCCAAGGGTGTGCTCGACCTGTTGGGTGGTTTGGCTGGTTCTATTGTGGGGGATTCCCAAGCTAGCATGGCATATGCTTTAAATATTCTTGTGGTTTATTTTTTAATAATATTTTTTAAAAATTCTTTCAAGATTTTTCAGTAAATTCTACAAAGCTTTCAAGCTTTTTTCCAAAAATTTCATGGCTTATTCTAACTTTAGTCAGACTCTCTCTAAAGGGTAACTAATACTTCGCCACCACTACCCCCTCCACCCAAAATAAGTAACTCTCCATATTCGGCTTGTTTTTGTGCACTTTTTGCCGTTATTCTAGGCATGACTAACTGTCCGTGAAGGTGTGTGTGTGCGAGTGTATGTGTGTTGACAAACTTCTCAGAATCTGGAATCCAGAATTGAGAAAGTCTTTTGTCTCGCTTGCACAGTCGATTTCCTTGCCTGGGAGCGGCTCTGTTCATGCGATTCCGATTATAAACAATTACCGATTACCACCTTAATTAGATGCAAACCCTCCCTCCCTGCACCCCTTCCTCCCCCTCTCTAACATAATCCAATTAAATGCGATCTGGAAAGCGATAAAGGCGAGAGTTCATTCCACTTCCACGACCAACCACTTCCATGGATGCATTACTAGGACCTTGACCTGTCATCGCTCTTTCTACAGTCGCGGCCATCCAACTAGCCATCGAATGCCCACTGTCTTGTCGCATTGCTTTTATTTAAATTTTTTTTTTTAAATTTTATTTATAATGCGAGCTGCCGAAACAATGCGTGTGTGCGTGTTTTGATGTCCCCGGGTGGCAATATTTATACATCATACCCCCAGGTCTTGTGGGTAGTGCCACCAGTACCAATCCCTTGCTGTCCCTACCAAAGGAAAGTGTTCTCAGCCTCAGAGTATAGTTGACTATGAAGATACCCTTACTTGAAAGTGAAAAATAAAGCAATAATCACTCTGCAAACAAACTATTACCCCATGGGGGGAGGTCGCACGATTGGCTTTTATCGCATATTTGATTAGAGACTACACTACTCTACCCTCGATTAGGGCTTGTTTGCTAATTGCTAGAGATTGGGGGAGTTCTATAGAGAATCTCTGACAAAGCTTAGGTGCTATTAACACTACCCTATTAGTGTTAGGGCCCAGGGAAAGAAATGTGTTGCCAACAACTGCGTCATACGCATCGTAGAAAACCACCACAACCAACCCAACCCCACCCACCCATTCGCGATGCCGCCCCTTGCGGATTATTTGTTTTGCTTAACAAATTCCTCGGCTCGTGCGCCATTCACGCTCGTCATTCGCCATTCGCCATCGGCTATTCGCTTTTCACGATGGCGTGACCAGGCAGGCAGCTCATTTATTAATGGTCTATCCCTCGATGCCCACACAACATCATCGCCATCAACGCGGAGCAGCCGACTCGCCACTGTGGCTAATCTTCACGGAGAAAGCAAAAGCCCTGGACGTCCTGCGGCATTATAAGGAGGCCCGCCTGCGGGAGTTCCCCAACCGGGAGCAGGCCGAGAGCTACGTTCAGTTTGGATTCGAGAGCATCGAGGCGCTTAAGCGTTTTGGAAAAACCAAGCCAGCCACTACCAGTAAGTACAAACAGCAGTTCATGCCACCACCTGTTGCGTGGGACAAACCCACCAGATGTCTGGCTGGGTAGAGAAACAATTCTGGCCTTTCCGGCACATCCCGAAGGTAGTTTTTTTTTTTGGCACAATTGCCAAGAAATCAATTGCCATCTGGGTCAGAGCATCTCTAGAAATCCAAAAACACGAAAGTGTCGAGAGCCAGAAAGTGTCTCAAAAATAAAACAGCAACCTGGTGCGATATTATTCATTTAATGACCAGGAATGGTCCCTTAGATGGTCCCTTAGATGTCCCTCAAATCTAAACTTGAAATCCCTTCCAGAACCCATTGCTTTGCCCAGCAACAACAGCTACAAGAGTTCGTCGTCCAGCTCCGCTGAGAGTTCGTACTCCTCCTCGCCGACCGGCAGTCCCTCGATGTCCAGCCTGCTGAGCAGTTCCCCGACCTCCGCCGCCTCCTCGCCGAACAGTAATGGACGCCACCACCACAGCCACAATCACCATCACCAGCAGCAACAGCAACAGCCGCCACAGCAGCAGCAGCAGCAACAGCAGCCAGAACTGGCGAGCAGTGGAGAGCGTCCGCCCTTCCGGGCGCCCACCAAACAGGAGCTGGTCGAGTTCCGGAAACAGATCGAGGCCGGGAACCTAGATCGCGTGAAGAGGATTGTGTGGGAGAACCCACGCTTCCTGATCAGCAGCGGTGACACACCCACCAGCCTGAAGGAGGGCTGTCGCTACAATGCGATGCACATCTGCGCCCAGGTGAACCAGGCCAGGGTGGCCGAGTTGCTGCTCAAGATCATCGCCGACCGGGAGTTCACCCAGCTGTATGCCGGCAAGAAGGGCAGCGGCGAGATGTGCGCCGCCCTGAACGACAACCTGTTGGACTACTACCTCAACATGCCGGATAAGGCGCGTGGCGAGACGCCGCTCCACTTTGCGGTGAAGAACGGTCATGTGGCTGTAGTGGAGGTCCTCATCGCCTATCCCCAGTGCAAGTCCCTGGCTAATCACGAGGGCAAGGAGCCCCGAGATGTAAGTTGAGCCTCCTTCTAGTCATTCGTTACCTTGCTAACCTAATCTTCCCCTTCCAGATCATCTGCCTGCGAGCCCCACAGGCTTCCATCGAGGTCATTAGGAAGCTGGAGCTGCTTATGTACGATCCCCACTATGTACCCGTACTGAGATCCGTGGCCAATGAGCTGCCACCGCAAGTGGGACAGCCCTTTACCCCTAACGAACCGCCGGTGAGTGGTCCCCACAAGAGAGTTTAGACTCCCGAAGTTAATTTTCGGGTTTCCTTTGCAGAACTTGCAGTTCAAGACGGAGGAATGTGAGGGCCTCAGCGTGGACCTGCAGATCAGTGCCCTGGCCGGGCCCATGCCTCGGGAGAAGGCCATGAACTTCTATCGTCGCTGGAAGACGCCGCCCCGTGTTGGGAGCAACGTGATGTCGCCGCTGGCCAGTTCGCCCTTCAGCTCGCCGGTGAAGGTGACGCCCAGCAAATCGATCTTCAATAGGAGCACCAACGGCGGCACTGGCGCTGTCATGGCCAATTCGACACCGGCGGGGCGTCGGGTTCTCTTCAGCCCAATGGAGTCTTCGCCGAAGCAACTGCCGCCGCCTCAGGTTGCGCCGCCGCCAAACCTAAACAATGGAAGCGAATTCGAGAACAACAATAACAACATCAAGCGTGTCGGGTCCGTGGAGCTGCCCACCACACCGATCCGTCAAATGAGACCCGACCTGTTTATGGCATATCGCGGCGCCAGCACCGAATCCCCTGTCGCCGAGGACTCGGTGCTGTTGTCATGCGACCAGAGCCTGAACATCAGCATGGGCATGAATGTGTCGGCGGTGTCCACGCTGAACGAGAGCTTCCGGGAGCGTCACATCAAGAACTCGGACATCGAGAAGGGCCTGGAGGTGGTCGGCCGTCAGCTGGCCCGCCAGGAGCAGCTAGAGTGGCGGGAGTTCTGGGACTTCCTTGACGCCTTCGTGGACATCTCCACGCCCGACGGCCTGGCCCGCCTGGAGGCGTATTTCGTTGAGAAGTCGGAGCTGGCCAGGGCCGAGAAGTCGGATCAGGCCTGGAACTTTGCCCAATTGCATCAGTATCTGGATTTGGTGGCCACCGGCGAGCAGCAAGGCCTGAAGCAGTCGCGCCACGGCAAATGGAGTGCAGCTGGCGGAGCGGGCGGTTCAGTTACGGGAGTGATGACCCCGTACACCTGTGTGGAGAAGTCGTTGCAGGTGTTCGCCAAGCGAATCACCAAGACCCTGATCAACAACATCGGCAACATGGTCTCCATCAATGACACGCTGCTCTGCGAGCTCAAAAGACTGAAATCGCTGATCGTGAGCTTTAAGGACGACGCCCGCTTCATGAGCGTGGACTTTGGCAAGGTGCACTCCCGCATTGCTCACCTGGTGGCCAGCTATCTGGCCCACTCGCAGGAGGTGAGCGTGGCCATGCTCCTGCAGTTGCTCCAAATGCTGCGCAAGTTGCGTCAACTGCTGCCTGAGGAGCGGGGCCGGGAGCAGCATCTGGGCTGTGTCTGCGGCAGCCTGCTGCAGATGCTGGAGACGGTGCCCAACAATGCCGTTCAATCGCCGGAGGCCCTGAAGACCGAGGAGCTGTGCTCCGCCGCCTGGGAAGCGCAGCCGAGCTGTGCCTGCCTCTGGGATGCGAATCTCAGCCGGAAGACAAGTCGCCGTAAGCGAAGCGAATCGATGCGCGCCGCCAAGGACTCGGCCGCCGCTGCTGCCATGCGTGCAGGTTCGCCGCGGGTCGCCATCGTGATTCCCAATCCCAAGCCAGCCAATGCCTGGCGGCAAATCAGCGACGATGATGAGGATTTTAGCGAAGAAGATAATTGCTTTGTAAGTCTGAGAATATCCTTCCTACAGTATCCTTCCTAATGAATCCTTATTCTTTGTATTTCAAAGTATGACTGCACGAACGTGTCACCGGAGCTGAGCAGCAGCGATGACGAAGATAATTTCAGAACACCACCGGAGAGTTTGTCGCCGCGGCTTTCGGTGGATCTGGAAACGGCCTATGAACTCTTTATATTTGGGTGAGTGATTGGGATCATCCTTGACATGCTCATCATGGCAGAAGGATCCTAAAGTAGTTCCTCTTTGTATAGAGGTTCCTCTATAGCTTAGTTCCTAGTCTATAGATCATAGAAGTATTGTCCGCAGCTTCTAATATTCCTGTTTATTTTGGGGGATATTATTTTAAGAACTCGACCCAGTCCCTTGATTATAAAATTAATTAAAAAATATATTTTAAAAACATAGAAAAGAGCCAACTAAGCGCGATTTGGATGTCCTGAATGCCATTTTCAATGTCGACGTCGACAAGGAGACACTGCCGCACGTCTATGCCTGGAAGACGGCAATGGAAAGCTTCTCGGCGGCCGAAATGGATCTGTAAGTCCATAACTATAACTCTTTTATGAATAAAATTCAATGATCGTCCTGGATTTGTAGCTTCCCCTCGCCGAAGAACATACGAAAGACCCACAAGCCAGTCTTTTGGTCAGCCGGGACACCCAACAAGGAGAACAACGGCTCTGTGAACCATCACACCAGCCAGTCGATGCATCCAAAGCGTCTCTTTGGCACACCCAAACTAAGTGCTGCGGTATCGACTGGACGACGTGGTTCCGGGCCGAGTACAACACCGATGTCGCCGCCGAAACCGATGCGACTGCCGCGCACTCCGGCCGCGCCCATACCGCCGGCTATCAGTGCCGGCCCAGCCACTGCCACAAACGGAGTGACCAGTTCACCGGCTCCCAACACCAGTACCAGTACCAGCACCAGCACCAGCACCGCATTCTCTGCATTGGCAGCGGCAGCCACTGTAACGCAGTCATTCCAAACGCCGCTGAACAAGGTGCGCGGCCTGTTCAGCAAGTACCGGGAGCCACGGGTTGAGATTGATTCGCCCATGGTCGGGATGAACGGGTCTCCGGTTGGCTCCGGTGCTTCGGACGGGGACTGCTGAGCACATACATGGAGCTAGGGATCCACTTATACACTTAAACTCCATATATATATTAATGTACTTTTTTTTTTTGTCCGCCCTTTTCATAGAGCATTTTGTCGTTTATTCCTTGAGTGCTTCGTCCTGACACGTCCTTAAATGTTTTCCCCTCTTTTTTTCTGTGAATGTCCTGCGAGTATAGTATATAGTTTGAAGATCGTGTTTGAAGTTTTTATATATTTTTTTTATAAACGCCACCATTATTTGGTTATCATCGTAATTGGGTTTAAGAATTTCAAAGTTTTGAAGTTGGAAAAGCGAAGAATGAAAGGAAATCTGCTTTGGAGAGGAGAAAGAGAAGAAAGAAAACTGAAGTGAATGTATTGAAATTATAAAGATATAAAGGCTTTATTAATAATCTATATATATATATATTTTTTTTTTTTTTATAAATGCATCTTGTGAAAAGAAAATTGAGATAACTATTTGAAATAAAACATTTTTGCTACTAATTTTATATAAAGTTTGAATTTTTATTTAATTTTTAAGATTAGTACTATAAGATAGTACTATAAGTCTGGAGGATGAGGGGCGACTAAAAGCGAAATTACTGCAACAAATTGTTGCAAGCAAGCGTGGCAGGGGCATAAAAGCAATTACCATTAATCACACAAAAAACACGCGGACCCATCGGACACCCAGACTCCTTCCAGGCCTGGTCTTGGAGACCGGAGACCGGCTTAAGAAGAGCATTCTTCCCCATTCGTCGTCGATCGATCTTTGGGGGCTACAATGCTCTTCTCCCCCCCACCCCACCCCTTCCAATGCAAAACGAGAAACTAAAACCAAACTGAGAAAAAAAAAAATAAAAACAAATTGAAAGGAAAGCAAAAAACTTTTATCGGAGCCTGTAGTGTATAACCCATAGATTCCCCCCGGACGGGACGGGTCTCGTTTACTCTCAATTTCTTATTTATGAGAGTGCTCGGATTCTTGGCGTCGGAAGATCTTGGGTTTCGACTGGGGTATATTGGACATAATGATAATCCAAGCTAAGAAAAATGTCTGGGTTTTGTTTGGTTTAGGGTTTGGTTTCCGTCTGAGGGAAGTCTAGTCTGGGGGAATAATTTCCTATCTTGGGAAATTATAAATTATATAAATTAAAATTATATTTATGAAGATAAGTATTTACATATAGAAGCTATATGTTTGGGTTAGGGTTGGGTTTCTGTCTGAGGGAATCATTGCCTATATTTCTTGGGATATAAGTAGCTATATATATAAACTATGTATATGTTTTGGCTTGGTTTCTATAACTCTGGTCTGTAGGAATAATTGCCTATCTTTGGATATAGTTACTTAAGTAGCTATATATAGGAGCTATACAACTCCATACCTCTATTAAATTAAATTAAGTTACTTGGTTAGTATTATAAATTTAATTTTTTTCTTACTTACTTATAAGTAAGTGATTGGAGCTGTATATTTAAATATATATGTTTGGGTTATGATCTCTATTCTGGGGTTATAATATTATTTTCTTTAAGCTAAGGTTGAATAAAGTAAGTGGTTTCTATAACTCTGGTCTGGGGGAATAATTGTCTATCTTTCTTGGGATATATGTATGATAGCTATATTTAGGAGATATTTAGGAGATATGTAGCTATATTTAGGAGCTATATGTTTGGACCTGGTTTCTATAACTCTATGACATTAAATTAAATTTCTTGGGCAAGGTTAGTAAACAAAGAGATGATATACTAATATTTAATTGGAGCTATATGTATATTTAGATAAATTTATATATGTTTGGGTTATTGGTTCTATTCTGGAGGAATAATATCTTGAGTTAAGATTGAGAATAAAGTAAATGGTTTCTATAACTATAACTATTTTTCTATCTGGGATAATAATTGCCTATCTCTCTTGGGATATAGGTATATATGTAGCTAGATTATAGAAGCTATATGTTTAGATCTTTATATGTCTGGGTTAGGGTTTAGTTTCTATAGTTATATATTCTGAGTAAATTATTAATTATATTTCTATTATTTAGTATTATTATTATTATTTTTATTATTATTATTATAATTATATTATTATTATTATTAGTAACTATTTACCATAGATCGATATACATACATATGTTTTTGGTTATGGGTTCTATTCTGGAGATATATCCTTTTCTCTCTTCTAGGGATATACATAGATAAGTATAGGTATTATACTCCTATTACTATAGGAGATTTATGTGTAGATCTTTATATTTCTTTATATTTTTCTATATGTTTTTTGAAACCAAACCTTAGGTTTCTATAATTTTATTCTGGGAAAGTTGTTGATTATCTCTCTTGATATACATAGGTGAGTTAGGTTTTTTGGATATGGGGTTAATAGGGTTATAAGAAACATAGGATTTTTGGAGTTATATATATTTAAAATCTATGCATATATGTTTGGTTTATGGGCGTTTTGGTTCTATTGGGTTCTAGAACCCCAGGTTCTATTATGTTTGGGTTCCATTCTGGGGCTATAATATCCTTTTTTTCTAGAACTAAGATTGCAATACAAAGAGGGATATATATTGGTAAACTATTGGATCTATAGAACTATAAATACCAGCAGATATCTGCCATTTCCAGGTATATATTTTATATTAATTTTTAATCAAAGGTATCAACTAAACACGAGGTATAAACTAGTCTCATTGAAACCCTTTCTCTTTAGGATTTTTTTTTTATTTTTATTTTTTTGTGGTTTTTCAGCTTTTGTCAACTGGAGCAGCGGGGTGTGGGGGTGCTGCTGGCCGACCGACCGACCGACCAGTGGCCAGGTGGGGTGGCTGGGGCTGGGGCTGGGGCTGGGGAGGCAGGACGAACAAATTTGTTGCAATTGCCGTTGCGGACCAGTGGTCGGGCAACTTTTCAATGGGAAGGCTTTGACAAATGATCGCTGATAAGGAACCGAAACGAGCGAAGATACAAAACCGCGAAACAAATTGCGAGGGGCTCTGGGGAGGGGGTAGGGAGGAGGAGTGGCAAGTAAAGAGGGGGGGGATCTTCAGAAGGATATCCCCGTAACTTGGCCATCCTATTATCCTAGAGATATGGCTCTGTTTTGCATTTAGTCTTTAGTACTGCAGGTGCATCCTTGGGGATACTTTTTAATTTATGCCCGGATCCGTTAGGGCTTCCTTGCCTCGCAGGAGACGGTACAAGGGGGGGCATGCAGGGCGACTGGCGCCAGTTGCCTCACTTATCTGGCCACCGCCATCAGGGTCAACTCAATTCGGCAGTTCTTTTGTTTAAAAAACAAAAAAAAAAACGGAGAAGCTTTTAAACCCAAAACCCCTTCTGTTTTCAATTCTCTGAAACTTGAGAACACTTCACAGAGAAAATGAGAAAGCGAGATAGGGATAGAGACAGGGACAGCAAGGGAGGGAGGGAGGTAGGGGGTCAGAGAACAACAAAAAAAAGGAGTCTGGACCGTGTCAGAAGTTCACACAAAACTTGTGAAGTTCCTTCCAAACGAATGAGAAATAAATAAAAAAAAAAATAAAAAATAAAAGTGTAGTGACGTTGAGTGGACTTTTTGAAAAAATATTTTTTTTTTTTTTTGGAGAAGGCGGCGCCGGAAGCTGTTCAGACAGCCAGTCCGAGCAATTAATCGTCCATTTGGTCAGTCACTTCGTCATTCAATCAATCCATTCAGCATTCCATCAATCCGGGACAGCTGCACTCCATGGCTGCCCTAATCTGGTCTAAAAATGGTGATACATTTTTTTAGAGGTTAAAACATGGAATACCCTTCCTAATAGTGATATAATAGTTAAGCGGATATATGCCTCGAATAATCCAACATTCCCCTTAGGAAAGGGTAGGCTAAACACATGGATAGCTTGTACCCCGTAATATCTAGATAGCCCCAAAAAAACCTAACTGCCCCCAATTCGTGGCATGCAACGCATTAAACAATGAAAAGCTTTTAAGGACCCATAACCCCCTTAGGATAATATCCTGCCTAATGACCACCGGGCAGGCTTCAACTTCGATTAGGAATTTTAGTGGAAAAATGATTCAGTTTTCGGTCACCGGACCTTGGCTCCGATTGTGTTTTTTGCGGCGCCGGGTGGGCGAGCAATGTTCCTGAAACGGAAATGCCGCAAGAGAGACGCCACCATCATCATCAAGCCCACGCCCCCGGGCAGGGAGCCCACTCCTCGTCCTCGTCCAGCAGGAAGCAGCGCGCCCTCGAGACTATGGTCATCTTCCGGCGCAGTCTCATCTACCAGACCAAGGAGTTCTTCCAGAACTCGACACTTCACGGTGTCCGCTACATCGCCGAATCGGGTCGACCCATTGGGGAGAAGTTCATGTGGTTTTGTTTCACCTCGATTGGTGCCGTCACGGCCCTGGTGATCATCATGAGTCTGTGGGAGAAGTTCCAAACCAATCCAACCATTACGGGCCTGGACACGGACTTTCACAATCAGAACGTGGTCTTTCCCACGACGGTTGTCTGTCCGGAGGCGGCTTTTGATCAGGAGAAGGCCTACGCGGCGGTCTATAAGTCTATGGCGTGAGTGGGTAACCTCCGACCTACCTAATCGATATATTAGTTAGTAGTGACCTTTAAGCTCTACTTGAGGTTATAAACCAATCAATAATAGGGATAATAATCGAGGGGTTCTCTCTTTTTTAAGATTACTTCAAAACTTCTAAAAAAATGGATATATTATTTTATATTCCAGGAACTATGATGATGCACAGGCTCAACTGTACACCCCATTTCTGGAGCTGATTACCTCATTGAGCTTTGAAACGATTCGAGATGCTAAGATGCTGGCCCAGTCCATACCCAAGGATCAGCTGGAGGAGAACACCATCCGACAGTGGGCCTTTGAGGCGCACATTAGCTGCGAAAGTACCTTCGTGTCCTGCAAGTATCGGGACGAGGAGATCCAGTGCTGTGACCACTTTGAGCCCATCTACACCGAGCATGGATTTTGTTATGCCTTCAATTCCAGATTCAAATCCACGGCCACCGAAGAGTGGGTTTCTATGAAGCTATCTAGCTTAGATAATGTAGTAGTTCATGTATATCCCCTTTCCAGTGTCAGAACGGGAGCTCCTCATGATCTCTATGAAACGGACAAGAAATGGGCTCTGTTCTTTGTTCCCAACAGCACTTCTAGGGTGAGTTGTTGGAGGAACCTCTGCAAGTACCGGGTATTCATAGTTTTCCTGCTCTTCCAGATCTTTATATTCTCGAACGAGGAGTACTTTGGCTCGGATTTCAATGCCCAGATCGATTGGTCGGAGAGCCAGCTGGTGGAGGTAAGGATATCCAAGAAGAACACCTACACCACGGACGATGCCCGCCAGCTGTCTATTGGCCAGAGGAAGTGCATCTTCAGCGATGAGGTGAAACTGAACTACTTCCCGGATGCCTACACCTTCTCCTCCTGCATGAAGCAGTGCCGGATGAACAAGGCCATCAAGCTCTGCAAGTGCAATCCGCCCTTCTACAAGCCGATAGGTAAAATAACTAGCCTATATCTTTTAATCTATGTATTAGCTAATGGCTTGTATTAACTTAGCCAATGTACCCATGTGCATGGTCAAGGATTTTGATTGCCTGGACGAGTTCAAGGCCAATATAACCAACATCAAGGATTGTCTTCAGTGCGAATTGAGTTGCTCCAAGACTGTCTTCAATATCGACAAGCTCATAAAGATGTAGGTCTTCAAAAAGATGGCTCTAAACTATGACTAACTAGCCTATGACTAACCCTCTTTCAGAGTGGATCGCCCGGAGAGCACTGGAGTCTTGGTGGAATTCCTTACCTGGCCCATTATTCGGTACAAGCGCGAGGTACTCTTCGGCTGGGTGGACTTGTTGGTGTCCTTTGGCGGCATAGCCAGTCTCTTTCTGGGATTCTCCCTCCTGTCGGGTGTGGAGATCATCTATTATTTTACGTTACGAGCCTGTTGTATGGTCTACAAAAATAGGGTAAGGACTTAGAAACCAAGTATATAAATCTCTAATATATCATTATAATCATCAGCAAGAACTGTACGAGATCGAGGAGCGTATTCAGAAGGAGCCACCGCCTGCTATTGATTTGAAACTAAGCTTGAGATCTCATTCCAGGCAGCAGGTGGGAGCCACCCCCTCCTCGGCAGTGCTACAGGTGAAGCCAGCCATGGAGGCATCTCAAGGCACCCAATTCCGTAAAACCGATAAGGTGAGGTTATAAATCTCTTAAATATATTAAACTAACCATTATCTTCACCATTAGGATTACTCCTCGTTCGCTAAGAATCTATATCGAACTCCGAAGGTCCTGCCCGATCATGGCTATAACTCTACTAACCAAAAGAATCCCTGGACCACCTACGATCACTCTCAGTATATGCCCTGAAGAACCTTGATATATAATCGAAATAATCCACAAATATATGGATATAGGCACTTTAACAAAAAATGACTTAAACTTCCGTTTAAAGTAATACTGGCACTTTAAAGTCTTTTTTTTTTTTTTTTTTAAAGATAATAAAGATGATTAAATAAAGTTTGCATATAAAGATTAACCAGGCACCCTATGTCCAACCTTATATGGAATATTGTATCCACACACATAACATATTTATGTGAAAAAGCACGAAAGCAATAAAGAAATATCCGTTTGCGAGAGCGAACGGTGGAAAAATGTTTCGACTGCCGCAGGAATGTTTTCGATGGATTCTGCTCCCAATTAAACTTCAGTCTTGTGTTGCATACTTAGCGGCGGGTTCACTGCACCCTGCACCCTGCCACACTGCATACTGCCACCCACCCAACTAGGAGGGAGCGGGAGCAAAAACTAACCACAACCCCATAGACTCCATCTGTAAACCCAAACTCGAACCAAAAACCCAAAACCCCGTTTCCATGCCACTACCATACCATGCCCCTGGTCCTGCCCCTCCCACTGCCCAAATCCGTGGCATTCAGCCGCAGTTCAACAAAAGCGAAAAGCATTTTTCAGTTAACATCGTTGCCGGCTCATTGTTAATTTCCATCAGTGATGGCCAGCCAGAGACTAGCATTAATCATAGTTTTCATTTTATAATTTATATATTTTAATTTCAGAGTTTTAATAGAATTATATTTAATTTTTAAAGGAGAATCGGAGATAAATTTCCAATCAATCCAGAAAATGTAAAACAAATTTTTAAAAAAATGTTTAAGGTACATGGGATTGGTTATATGGTCCATGACGAAGGATATGTCTTTGTCACTTTTCATCCGATCCTTCAGTGAAATACTACCAACGAATCGTAGATGAATTTTCTACTAATCTGCATAAAAATAAAAAAAGTAAAAATATTATTCGAACCACTTTTTTCTAAAACTTTTTGAGGGGATCCTTTGAATGTGCCCTCCATATGGCACATGGAGTACTTTATATCTTTGACAACTTCTATCAGATCCTGGAGAGGAATACCTTACACGAATCGTCGATGAGTTCCCTACTTATCTGAATTAAAATCTAAAAAAAAATTGTTGATACATTTTTTGAAATATAATACGATATACCAACTTTCATAAGGATTTTACAGAGGAAAATCCCATTTTCAAGGAATCCCATCAGGAAAAATGGACAAAAAATCTAAAAAATATTTTGTGTTGGGATTTTGATGCAGAATGATAGTAAATCGATCTAGAAATCGTTTAAGGTACTCCGCTTGAGAATCGGATGAGAATTGGAAAAGATATAGACATCCCTACGGACCCTATAGGAGTTACTATATAATAAATCGAGCTAAAATGGCATCACTGTTAAAGCCATGGAGAGGGCTAGAAAAAAGACTACGTAGAGGGGAAGGGAGGCCAGTTTCCCGGCACGACAGTCCGTGGAAATGGCCAACAGGTGGGGGTGGTGGATAGTGGGGGGTGGGTGGCGTCGGTTGTAGTTGTAATTGCAGTTGTAAGCCGCGTAGTACGCAGTGGCGTCTGTCTTTGCCTACGGGGAGGGGGGTGGGGTTCGTGTGGGTGGCATTCACTGTGTACGTCATAGTCCCAGCCACCCCACGACCCGCTACCCGCAGCCCACGTTCTTTGCATATTTCTGTGAATGAAACCGCCGCAAAGTAAGTTTTTTTTTTTTATTTATTGCTATGGCTTGGTGGAAAAGGAGGCGTGGCACTAGCTGGGATTAAGATGCAACGATCGCTTTATGACCCCAGCAGTCAAGGATTAAGCCCCCCGGGGGAGAGTCTCCAGGGGGTGGGGCTGGGGGATAAACACAAAAAATAAACAAAAAAAAATCACAAAAAACAATTAGAGCCTGTTAACAGTTAACGGGAATGTTGACAATGCACACACACACGCCCACAAATAAATAAAAACACAAAGACATAGACAGAAAAATATTTTTTAAAAATAATAGAATAAATTATTTTATTAAAAAAAAATACAAGATACAAATGTTAAATAGATTTAGCTTTTAAGTTTTTCTTTCAAGTTTAATTTATTAAAACAAACTTAATAGTTCTCTTTAATTTATTTCTCTCAGTGTATTTACACCCACACATGCATGTATATGGCTGAGCGCATAAATAAATTTAGCAAAGTTAATTGAAATAAGCGAGTTGGAAGCTCTGTTTACTTGGCCTTAAAAAACAAAATCGGAAAGAAAACAAATTCCCGAATCAGGGGGGGAGGGAGTGAGGCAGGATAAACACACACACACTCATTCCACATTCTGTTTGTGTTTGTAGGCACAGTCGTGTTTGTTGGCTTGATGTTCGATTTGCATTTCTAAAATGGCCCATAAAAGTGTTAAAACTAATGAAATTTCTTTGATTGCCGGATGTACAAAAAAACGGTAAAAAAAAGCGATTAAAACCATTTAGATTTGGCCAGGAACGGCCACTCAATGGCCTCTTTTATTTAATTGCTAAAATCCCATCAGGTATGTGGACAACTAGGCGTATACGTAATCTTGAAAATCAAGTATACGCCATGTATGACACTTAAATCTGATACTAAAAATTAAATTTAAACTCACAATCAATATCCTTAAAAAAACATAAGTAGTTGCGAAAAATTAAAGACATTAATTATGCAGATTGGGGCAGGCAGACTGTGTTTTTTGTGTTGCCACAAATACTAGAATTGCCACAACAACATGCCCAAGAAAATAAATCCAAAAACAAAACTTGTTACTTGCCACAGCGACAATGGTGTGGCACTGGCAATGGCTGAAATGTGGTCCTGCGGATACGCAATGTGCCACAGGCACTGCCTGACTGCCTGACTGCCTGCCTGCCACCGGAACCGGAAACTCTGTAGCAGTAAAACCCAGAAAAGGATTAACGCAGAAAACAAAAACAATATACAAAAAAAAAAAAAAAATACCAAACACCCCAAAAACATGCATAATAACAGCGAAACGAAAGCCAGAAAGGCGGAAAATGGCAGACGGCAATGGGCGATGGGCGGTGGGCGGTGGGCGGTGTGCTGTAGGCGTGGCCTGACAGGCAGCTTAATTAAGATTGCCAGGATAATGCAGAAATTAAGACACAAAATGCCACGAGACGAACGAGCAAAGTTTCAAGTCGCTAAAGTTTTCTTCAAAACCCAGACAGAACGAGGGGGGTTGTACAATATTTTCCAAGGATTTTTACGAGAAAGTTCGATTGGAAAATGCCAATGCCATAGACCACAAAACATGCGATGAATTTATTGAATTAAATCTCTCAAGCACAATGCCCGAAAAATATCACCAATAACTTATGGTGACTTGTAATGGGAATGGCAAGGATTACAAGGATATGTGATATGGCTAGAGATGGCAGATATACATACATATAATACAAAATTACAAAAATTTTGTTGCATACTTTTTGGGGTATTTTTTTTCTATAACCTCCCTAAACTCAATTTTTGTATATTTTCTATTATATTTTATCTTTTTTATTTCATTTTCCGTTATACATATTTTTTTTTATTACTTTTGGCATCTCTAACGGCACTGACAGTTTGGCAAGTGCCTTGACTTCCGGTTGAGCTTTGATTGCATTCGACTTTTGGCTGCAACTTGCCATCTCACTCCCACTCCCTTCTGTATCCACCCAACGCCCACGCAACACCAAAAATATTGTCTTTTTCGGTCTCCAAGCGAGAAGAGGAGTTGGAAAAAGCTCGCCTTCTTGTACAATGTAAACATAAAGTAAAAGCAATGCCAGAAACAAAAGTCAAGTCCATTCGTGTTTGTCCGTCCGTCCTGTTTGCACTTGTCCGAGCACACCAGTGTGTGTGTGCGAGTGCAATGCGTGTGCATGTGATCTGTTGGATGCGATTAGAAAATGATTTACACCTCTGGCAGGGGCCCAGGAGAGTGCCGCCATGGAAGGATGTCTGCAGAACTGGTTAAATGAGAAGAAGACAGTAAGGGGAAGTAAGGGGGAAGAGAGCTGGCATCATGCCTCGTTCTATGCAATTACACATTTTATTATTATTAACGTTAATGTCGCCCCTGGGATGGCACTAACGCCCGGCTCCACATAAAAGGCGCTTATTAATAAGAAATTGCAATAAACTACAAGATGCACAGACCCAAAGCTACACTGAGAATTTTATTTTAAAATAACAAAAAATAATCATAAATCTTAATAAAGGGAGGTATGTTATAGGAATATTATAGTTATAAAATTTATTATAAATCAATATATCATTAAACCTAATTTTTCTCAGTGCAATCAGGTACGCTGGCGCTTAAGCATGCAACAGCTGGTGAGAGAAAGAAGGCTTTAGCACCCAAAGTGGGAGTCAAAGAGAGAGAGCTAAAGAGAGTTTAAGATCCCAGCCGGCGAATGCGCGGCAACAAAAGAAAAAAAAGCAAATCCAACAACCAGAGAGAAACAGCTGGCCTGAAGAAAGTCGAGTCTCCTTTCGCTCCTTCGGGCTCCCCCATTCTCCTTTTTCTCTGGCTTCCCGCTCCCACAATCCCTGGCGTTGCATTGAGAGTAAATCAAGCGGGCGACGTCGACGCTCCACATATTTTATTAAGTTGGGAAACCAGTAATAAAGTAGGAAGCCCGCTGCCCGCTGCCAGCTGCAGCAGCTCACCAACACACTTCCACACACACAGATGCACTCCTGAGAGCTCTCTCAGTCACGTTACATTCGGCGCTGCTGCTGCTGCTGCTGCTGCCGCGGCTGCCTTTGCCATTTGTTGTTGCGATGGGGTTGCTGTTGTAACGTAACATCTCTGCTTCTGCTGCTCCTGCACGCGAACATGTGCTAAAGTTCAGGGCCGTATTAAAGCCAAAAAGGGTTAGTCTTGGAAATTAAAAATATGTAGTTTTCTTTCATGTTTATTGAAGAGGTCAACATGGCGTATACTTAATATTAAATTTTTGTTGCCTACTTCAAGTGCCAAATCTAAGCTTGATCCGCTCCTGTGTTTTCCCCTTTCCTGGCTCTTCCTTGCACTCTCTCCGCTG